AGGCTTCTCTCATGTCCCTGCATGGGGAGCTGGAGCTGATAGAGGGAGCTCATCCGTGCTCTCCGCCGGATTCGAACCTGCGACCTGTCGGTCTTCAGTCCTGCCGGCACAGGGGTTTAACCCACTGCGCCACTGGCGGCTCGCCTTGGGGAGATGATAACGGGGTACAAATAAAGTTGTTGTTGTTGTTATTATTATTGGGAGGACTACGATTCACCCAAGAAGGGTGTAGATGTGCACAGAAGCTGGTCTACTCATCCGCACCATTCCTCTGTTTTCCTTTCAACCCATTTCCATGCAGGCTCAACCCCTCCACCAACCATTTGGCAGAACCGCCCTGGGTTGCCACTGCCATGCTGGCTGTCTCCCTGGTTGCTGGGACCAAGTTCTGCCTGGACTCTTTCGACCAACAACATGTTGCCAAGGAGGACTGAAGCTCCCTGCCCCTTCCCCAGGCCTACGCAGCAATAAAACTTGTATACCACCTGCCTGACACTGCATTGTCTCACCAGGAGTATTCTTGAGATGGCGGCAACCACAGGCGATTTCTTAACTGTACAAAGTGGGCACTGTATGGCAGGGGTAGGAATAATTCGTCCTGTGTGGGTTCAGGGAAGTATCTCTTTCCATATATATCTATATAAATAAAAATGTAATGTTCGTTTGCGGGTTTAACAGAACTCAAAAACCACTGGGGGAATTGACACCAACTTTGGACACGATACACCTAACAACCCAATGTATGTCCTTCACTCAAAAAAATGATTTTGTCATTTGGGAGTTGTAGTTGCTGGGTTTTATAGTTCACCTACAATCAAAGAGAATTCTGAACTCCACTAATGATGGAATTGAACCAAACTTGGCACACAGAACTCCCATGACCAACAGAAAATACTGGGTTTTGTGAGCAGTGTCCTTTGGTATTGGAGTTGTAGTTCACCTACATCCAGAGATCACTGTGGACTCAAACAATGATGGATCTGGACCAAACTTGGCATGGATCCTTAATATGCCCAAATGTGAACACTGGTGGAGGTTGGGGAAAATAGATCTTGATATTTGGGAGTTGTAGTTGCTGGGATTTCTAGTTCACCTACAATCACAGAGCATTCTGAATCCCACCAATGATAGAATTGGGCCAAACTTCCCACACAGAACCCCCCACGACCAACAGAAAATACTGTGTTTTCTGAGGCTCTTCAGTGACCCCTCTGACACCCCCTTGCGACCCCCTCAAGGGTCCCGACCCCCAGGTTGAGAAACACTGATCTATATAAATAAAAATGTAATGTTTGTTTGCGGGATTAACAGAAATCAAAAACCACTGGGGGAATTGACACCAAATTTGGACACAAGACACCAACTAAACCAATGTATGTCCTTCACTCATAAAAACACTGAAAAGCACAGCAGAAGGGACTTTAAAAGCCCCAAAAAGCTAAATGATGAAAAGCTACATGACAATACAGAAAAAAGGGAAGAAAGAGGGAGGGAAGGGGAGAAAAGAAAGAAAGAAAGGAATAGAAAAGAAAGAGGGAGGGGGGAAAGAAAGAAGGAAAGGGAGAAGGAAGCATGGAAGCAAAGAGAGAAGGAAGGAAAGAGGTAGAGAAGGAAGGAGAGAAAGAGGGAGGGAAAGAAAAAGGGGGAAGGAAGGAAAGTTAGAGAAGGAAGGAGCGAAGGAAAGAAAAAAAGGGAAAGAAAAAAGGGAAGGGGAATGAAGGAAGGAGGGAAGATGCAGAGAAAGAGGGAGGGAAGGAAAGGAGAGAGAGAAGGAAGAAAAGAGAGACAGCAGAAGAGAAAGAAAAAGGGGGAGGGAAGGAAAGAGATAGAGAAGGAAGGAAGAAGAGAAGGAAAGATGGGAAGGAAGAAATGAAAGAGGGAGTGAAGGAAGGAGGGAAAGAAGGAGAGAAAGAGAGGTTGGCCACAGCAATGCATGGCAGGTACAGCTAGTATATATATACACACACACATACACACACACTAGCTGTACCCGCCACGTGTTGCTGTGGCCAACCTTCCCTCTCTCTTTCCTTTCTTTCTCTCCTTCCTTCCCTCTCTTTCATTCCTTCCCTCTTTTTCTTTTCCATCTTCTTTCTTCCTTCTCTACCTGTTTCTTTCCTTCCTCCCTTTCCTCTTTGGTTCCATCCTTCTCTCTTTCTTTCCTTCCCTCTTTCTTCCATCCCTTCACTCCTTCCTTCCCTCTCTCTTTTTTCTTCTTTCACTTTTTAATTTCCTTCTTACCTTCCTTTCTTCTCTACCTTCCTTTCTTTCCTTCCYTCCTTCCTTCCCTCTTTCTCTCCTTCCTTCCTTCCCCTTTTGTGTGTATGTTTTGTGTTTATGTGTGTGTGTATGCATATATGTATGTGTGTGTATATATATGTGTGTTTTTGTATATGTATGGTTTTGTGTATGCGCTGTAATGTAATTTTTTGTTTTTTGGCTTTTAAGTCTCCTTTGCTGTGTTTTTCAATGTTTTTATGAGTGATGGTCACTCGTTGGCCTGATAGGGTGTCTTGTGTCCAAATTTGGTCTCAATTCGTCCAGCAAACATTACATTTATATAGATAGATAGCCCCCTGGTGGTGCAGCGGGTTAAACCGCCAAACTGCTGAACTTGCTGACCGAAAAGTTAGTTCGAATCCAGGGAGCATGGTGAGCTCCTGCTGTTAGGCCCAGCTTCTGCCAACCTCGTTCAAAAACATGCAAATGTGAGTAGACCAATAGGTACCACTTCTGTGGGAAGGTAACGGTGCTCCATGCAGTCATGCTGGCCACATGACCTTGGAGGAGTCTACAGACAATGCCAGTTCTTTGGCTTAGAAATGGCGATGAGCACCACTCTCTAGAGTTTGATATGGCATGACTTAATGTCAGGGGAAACCTTTACCTTTACTTTATCTGCTTAGCATCTCCAAATGTGAAAACTACTTGCTAGGGGGTTCAAACAAATAAGGATTAGTAGCTTCCATATCTTATTTTCCTCTTCCCTAAAAAAGGGCTTTTTTTTCTTTCAAAATTTAAGCTACCTTCTGTTAAATTCTGGTTTGAATTGGAGGTCCCTCAAGAGTGGAAACATTGCCTCTATATACAAAGGACTTGGCTTGCAACTCAAATATACTAGCTGCAGGGCCTGAATGTCCATTAATGCTACTCTCCCAACATGGAAAACAACTGTTTTAACCTGTCCTATTTAAGTTGTAAAGACTCTTAGGGAGTTGTATTGCCGAAGGCTTTCATGGCCGGCATCACCGGGTTGTTGTAGGTTTTTTCGGGCCATGTTCTAGAGGCATTCTCTCCTGATGTTTCGCCTGCATCTATGGCAAGCATCCTCAGAGGTCGTGAGGTCTGTTGGAACAAGGAAAATGGGTTTATATAACTGTGGAATGATCCAGGGTGGGACAAAGAACTCTTTTCTGATGGAGCTAGGTGTGAATGTTTCAACTGACCACCTTGATGAGCATTTGATGGCCTGGCAGTGCCTGGGGCAATCTTTTGTTGAGAGGTGATTAGATGTCCCAGATTGGGCGCTGCGTTTGGTGGTTGTTTTGCTGTTGTAATTTTAGAGTTTTTTAATACCAGTAGCCAGATTTTGTTCATTTTCATGGTTTCCTCCTTTCTGTTGAAATTGTTCACATGCTTGTGGATTTCAATGGCTTCTCTGTGTAGCCTGACATGGTGGTTGTTGGTGTGGTCCAGCATTTCTGTGTTCTCAAATAATATGCTGTGTCCAGGTTGGTTCATCAGGTGCTCTGCTATGGCTGACTTCTCTGGTTGAAGTACTCTGCAGTGCCTTTCATGTTCCTTGATTCGTGTTTGGGCAATGCTGCATTTGGGGGTCCCTATGTAGACCGTATACCATGCAGCTGTGGACAAGTCTACATAGGGACCACCAAATGCAGCGCCCAATCTGGGACATCTAATCACATCTCAACAAAAGATTGCCCCAGGTACTGCCAGGCCATCGAATGCTCATCAAGGTGGTCAGTTGAAACATTCACACCTAGCTCCAACAGGCAAGAGTTCTTTGTCCCACCCTGGTCATTCCACAGATATATAAACCCTTTTTCCTAGTTCCAACAGACCTCACTACCTCTGAGGATGGAATGTGTCCAGAGGAGAGCGACTAAAATGATAAAAGGTCTGGAGAACAAGCCCTAGGAGGAGCGGCTTAAGGAGCTGGGCATGTTTAGTCTGAAGAAGAGAAGGCTGAGAGGGGATATGATAGCCATGTATAAATATGTGAGAGGAAGCCACAGGGAGGAGGGAGCCAGCTTGTTTTCTGCTTCCTGGAGACTAGGACGCGGAACAATGGCTTCAAACTACAAGAGAGGAGATTCCATCTGAACATGAGGAAGAACTTCCTGACTGTGAGAGCCGTTCAGCAGTGGAACTCTCTGCCCGGAGTGTGGTGGAGGCTCCTTCTTTGGAAGCTTTTAAACAGAGGCTGGATGGCCATCTGTCAGGGGTGATTTGAATGCAATATTCCTGCTTCTTGGCAGGGGGTTGGACTGGATGGCCCATGAGGTCTCTTCCAACTCTATGATTCTATGAGGATGCTTGCCATAGATGCAGGTGAAACGTCAGGAGAGAATGCCTCTAGAACATGGCCATATAACCCGAAAAAACCTACAACAACCCATCTTGGGGAGTTTCTCCTCCTTAAGGAGCATTAAGTAGCTCTGCCCTATTTCCTGGACATTTCCCTGTTTACCTGGGCTTCCTAGCATTCAAGAAGCACATGGGCACTCTCTTCTCATTGCCAGAAGTCCAACAAACTTAGGTCACAGAGAGACGAATTCTAGGTGCAATCTGAGCAATACAAACCAGGATTAGCGCCATAAAGAACGGAATGCTTCTCGTCTCCTCATGGATGTGCAGGCGAAAGGAGTGGCGGCAGTAACTTCACATACACTGGATTTCAGGTCTGGTTTGACATTACATCTAACCACAATTTTCTGATGTTCTAAAACTTTTAGGATCCCTTTATGACAACTAGAAAATTATATTTGTCGTAGAAATTGTGTTTTATTTGTTTCTCCTATAGCCATCCCTTTAAGTGACACACCAAACAGGTGGTAGTGATGTACAAAATAAAAGAACAAGCCAAAACAGAAGCATGAACATAAATCTGAGAGGATTTTTGAAGCCACACTGACCAGAAAGCAGAGAATAGTCTCTTTCCTATGCAACCAAAAGTTCCTGCAATTGGTTCTGGACTTTAGCAAAGAACAGGTTGGTACACAACAAGGGAATTTCCATCCTTGTCAGGTCAGAAATGGCCACAGACTGCCTCTTCCCTTTCAGATGCCCAATCTGACCCCCAAGAAACAATGCAACTCTGGATGACACACAGATGAGACCAGCTTACATTTACTCTGGCATTCCAGGACAAATAGACATTCATACTCCCACCCATTCTATCCATAAAAGTAAAGGGATCACCCAGCTGGATGGGAATTGGAGAAAATAGGGAAAGGAACAGCCCACAGTGCTGGCCCGCAGCAGCAGCCATGCGCTAGACGATCATCTCCAGCTGCCGAGCGTATTCGATAACTTGTTTGGCTAGCTCCGTTGAAGGGATGGTGGCGTCTTCGGGTTTCTGCTGCTGACCCGTGAAACAGTAGTGGTTGTTTGGGCCCAGGACCCAGCCACGCTGAAAGGAAAGGAGACACGTTTTTGAGAAGTGGTGACAAAGCCAACCTTAAATGCTCCAGATCTGCATTTTTAATGGCACAACTGTTGGTATGTTCTGACACGGCCATTTAAAACAACAACAGGAAACTGTTTGTATCTAACAGGAAATACATGCAGTTTCTGAATGGTTACTGATTCTTGGAAACACAGCGCCACAAAAAAGGCCTTGGCCTTTGTAAGCTGCACCGAGTCCTTCGGGAGATGTTAGCGGGGTATAAATAAAGTTAATAATAATAATAATAATAATAAGTGGGTGCTAGAAACAATATCATACGAAAGCTGACTGGCACAACCTGGGGATCACAACTAGACACAGTGAAGACATCTGCCATTTCGCTATGCTACTCTGCTGCTGAGTATGCATGCCCAGTGTGGAACACATCTCACCACGCTAAAACAGTGGATGTGGCTCTTAATGAGACATGCCGCATTATCACGGGGTGTCTGCGCCCTACACCACTGGAGAAATTACACTGTCTAGCCGGTATTGCACCACCTGACATCCGCCGGGAAGTAGCAGCCAATAGTGAAAGGACCAAGGCAGTGACATCTCCAGCTCATCCCCTGTTTGGGTATCAGCCAGCACGTCAATGACTTAAATCAAGAAATAGTTTTCTAGGATCTACAGAGACACTCGCTGGAACACCTCAGCAAGCGAGAGTCCAAAAGTGGCAGGCTCAAACCCAGAATTGAGATGTTATGAACTTTTGTTATGAACCAAATACTTATTTTCCTCCATAATTTGCAAATAAATTTGTTAAAAATCAGAATTTCTGGATGGGTTTTCTCATGTTGTTTCTCATAGTTGAGATCTACCTATGATGTTAATTACAGGCCTCTCTCATCTTTTTAAGTGGGAGACCTTGTACAATTGGTATCTGACTAAATACTCCCCCCACCCCCCAACTGTATATGTTCACAAGCAAGCAAATACATAATTGAAAGCACAGCTACTGAAACTGAACTTTTTCTAGAAAAGTAGGAGGAAAAATATGACGTTACCAGGTATTGTTCAACGAACACTCCCATCAACTCCAGTTAGGGAAGATGAGAGCTATCATTCAACGTGGTAAGAATGGATCATTCTTACAGAGAACTCCACAAGGAAGGAAGCTCAAACAAAGCATGGTCCCATCTGGAAAACCTCACCTTCTTGGCATAGTCAGTCATCTTTTTGGGGGTGAAGAAGAGCATACGAGTGGCTTCATTGAACAGAATCTTCTCATAAGCCTTCTCAATGCAGCTGGCAATCTCGTCCCTGGGTTGAGAGAGGAAAAAAAACCCGAATCAGTTGACACAGGAAACAGAATCCAGCCATCAAGAAGCATTTCTAAGCTCAGATGACATCAGTGGGCAAGTTCGGCACATGCTGAATTCTTTCTTGTCAAAACAGATGTGCTGCAAACTATTTTAAGATGTTTATGTAGGCGCGATTGGTGGGGACGAGGGAGAGGGCCTTCTCTGTGGTGGCCCCCCGACTCTGGAACTCACTTCCCAAGGACATCAGATATACCCCAACTCTGGCAGCCTTTAGGAGGAGCCTGAAAACGTTGTTGTTCCAGTGTGCCTTCCCAGAATAAGGAAAACTCTCAACAATATGACCTCAAAATGCACTTTACCACTGATTTAGGACTGATTATGTTCCCTCATTTCTCTTTGAAAACCCTATACCAGTTATATCCTACCTTGTTCATGCCCAGCGTTATTTTTTTAATTTTAAACTATTACATTTGGCCCGGACATAGGTTTTTAAATGCTTGTGTGTTACTGTTTATTGTTTATGTTAATTGTATTGTATTGATTGCTTTTGTTATTGCTTTTGTTATTGATGTACTATGAGCTTGGCCTCATGTAAGCCGCACTGAGTACCTTGGGGAGATGGTAGCGAGGTATAAATAAAGCATTATTATTATTATTATTATTATTATTATTATTGGAATACCAAGACACCTTGTCTCTCTCCTGAGAAATCTGTATAATGACCAAGTAGCAACAGACCGGTTCAAGATTTGGAAATAAGTATGGCTGGGCTGTCTACTCTCACCTGACCTATTCAACTTGTATGCAGAACATATCACACAACATGCAGGGATTGAGGTATCCAAGGCTGGGGTTAAAATTGCTGGAAGAAACATTAACAACCTTAGATATGCAGATGATACCACTTTGATGGCCAAAAGTGAGGAGGAACAGAGGAGCCTTCTAACCAAAGTGAAAGAAGCAAGTGCAAAAACTGGGTTGCAGCTAAACATAAAAAAACCAAGATTATGACAACAAGAATGATTGACAACTGGGAAATAGAGGGAGAAAACATGGAGACAGTGACATGGTTTGTATTTCTAGGTGCAAAGATGACTGCAGACACAGACTGCAGCCAGGAAATCAGGAAATGTTTCCTTCTTGGGAGGAGAGCAATGTCCAATCTTGATAAAATAGTGAAGAGTAGAGACTTCACACTGGCAACAAAGATCCGCATAGTTAAAGCCATGGTATTCCCCATAGTCACCTATGGATGTGAGAGCTGGATCATAGGGAAGGCTGAGCAAAGTGACTGAATTGACCTTGAAGGAGGTGGGGGTGGTGACAGCCGACAGGGAGCTCTGGCGTGGGCTGGTCTATGAAGTCACGAAGAGTCAGAAACAACTGAACGAATGAACAACAACAAAACCTATAGATGTGAGAGCTGGACCATAAAGAAGGCTGAGTGAAGGAAGATAGACACTTTTGAACTGTGGTGTTGGGAGGAAAATTCTGAGAGTGCCTTGGACCGCGGGAAGATCAAACCAGACCTTACTCCAGGAAATAATGCCAACGGCTCACTGGAGGGAAGGATATTAGAGGCAAAGATGAAGGAATTTACCCATTTCATGAGAAGACAAGAAAGCTTGGAGGAGAGGAATGATGCTGGGGAAAATGAAAGGGAAAAGGAAGAGGGGCCGACCAAGGGCAAGATGGATGGATAGTATCCTTGAAGTGACTGGCTTGACCTTGAAGGAGCTGGGGATGGTGACGGCTGACAGGGAGCTCTTGCGTGGACCGGTCTAGCAGGCCACGAAGAGTCAGAAGTGACTGAACGAATAAACAACAAAAATGCTGGATTGCGCCTGTCCCTAACAATGGGCCTAATAGTGTTGCGCCAGCTGCTGTGATGGGGGAGATGAGTTGCCGAACTGCATGTATGGTGTTCTATATGGGTGATCTTGGTCTGCAAGGTAGAAAGAGTCCACAGAATTTTGGAAAAGGAAAATCTTGCTCCTGAATTCATTTTATAGCTATACCACATTCTTAAAAGGTTGTTTGGGTGGGCAACAAAAACACACATTTCCCCTGAGTTTCTCATTCTGGGAACCATGTCTATTGGAAGATCTCGAGTGAAATCAGAAACTCGTGCAAGGATACAATAGGCAACTTTACCAATACTGGTTAATTCTGGGCGGAATGATCCAATCACACTTGCTATTGAGATTTTTGCGGAATGAGGTGCCGGTGTGGAGAGGATCTGAGCCACTTGAATGCTGGTGAGAGAACACAACCAACCTGACAGTGTCCAGTAAGATGTCAATGAAGAAAGCGTAGCTCTCTGCCGGGATGTTGCCTTTAGCGAGGAACACTTTGTTGTAACTGCCTTCCATCAGGTACTGTGGAGGACACACAATGAATGTATTAGTCATCTTTCCAGGAAAGCTATGTACAACGGTGCTTCTAACCCCTGAAAAGGTGGAGGGCCGACTGTAGTTTATTATATACTTGGGTGAAACCACAAACTTGTGAAAATTATATTGTTTTAATTGTTTCTCATCTGTTCATCCAGTGTGGAACACATCTCACCATGCTAAAACAGTGGATGTGGCTCTTAATGAGACATGCCGCATTATCACGGGGTGTCTGCACCCTACGCCACTGGAGAAATTACACTGCTTAGCCAGTATTGCACCATCTGACATCCACCTGGAAGTAGCAACCAATAGTGAAAGGACCAAGGCAGTGACATCTCCGGCCCATCCCCTGTTTGGGTATCAGCCAGCATGCCAACGATTTAAATCAAGAAATAGTTTTCTAAGATCTATAGAGACACTAGCTGGAACACCTCAGCAAGCGAGAGTCCAAAAGTGGCAGGCTCAAACCCAGAACCTCAATCAATGGCTCATACCAAATGAGAGACTCCCTCCTGGGCACACAGAAGACTGGGTGACTTGGAAGGCGCTGAACAGACTGCGCTCTGGCACCACGAGATGCAGAGCCAACCTCAAAAAATGGGGCCACAAAGTGGAGTCCACGACATGTGATTGTGGAGAAGTGCAAACCACTGACCACCTGTTGCAATGCAACCTGAGCTCTGCCACATGCACAATGGAGGACCTTCTTATAGCAACACCAGAGGCATGCCAAGTGACCAGATACTGGTCAAAGGACATTTAAAAGAATGCCAAGTTTGCAAACTTTGCGTGTTTTTAAAAAATACAATACAATTGTTTGGTTTGCTCCTAACACGATAAATAAATAATCTGTTCATCCAATTGAGACCCCTTGTGGGTTGGAAGGCAATACAGAAATACCTCTAAGTACAGTAATAAATACCACATATACTCGAGTATAAGCCAACCCGAATGTAAGCCGAGGCATCTAATTTTACCACAGAAAACTGGGAAAACATATTGACTCGAGTATAAGCCGAGGGTGAGAAATGAAGCTACTTCTGGTAAATTTCAAAATAAAAATAGATAGCAATAAAATTAGATTAATTGAGGCATCAGGAGGTGAAATGGTGTTGAATATTTACATAAAATTGTAATCTGAGATAAGACTTCACAACTCTGATTAAATCATTATTCTAACCTTCTTCAATGTAAATGTATTTACGTATCCTTCCAACAATAATAAAGAGAGTAAAATAATGAATGTAATAATAATAATAAAGGAAAATAATGAAAATGCAATAATAACAGTAATAATAGAGTAAAATAATAAATGCAATAATAATAAAGTATAATAAATGTAATAATAATCATAACAATAGAGTAAAATACTGTAAATGTAATAAAATAATACATGAAATAAAGATAATACTAATAACAACAAAATAATAAATAACCTTGACTCGAGTATAAGCCGAGGGGAGCTTTTTCAGCCTAAAAAAAGGGGCTGAAAAACTAGGCTTATACTTGCGTATATACAGTAAATACCCCTCCTCGCTGTAATGGGATTGAGGTGCAGAGAGAAACGTTCCCAATTAAGAATTTGTTCTGAATGTGCAAGACAACACCTCCAATTTAAGAACACAAGATCCAGGTAAAGAAGAGTGGGAAGTTACCTGCTCTAAAGACACAGGGTGCTTGATGTAGACATTGGTCTGGATATCCTTTGCTGGGAGCCTTTCGAGCTCTGTGTGGAACTCAGCAACGCGGTTCTGGGACAGCAGGAACAGGAGGTTCAAACCCAAGAGCTGGTGTTTGTAGGCTGACTCTGGTAACTCGTCTCTGAGGCAGAAGAGGGAAAACACAGTGAAATGGAGATCAAGGAGATGTGTGTATATGGAACAGGCCTAGGATTAGAGTATCAGCCTCTGCTTCTCCCAGCCAAATGATCGGCAAAAACAAGTCTTACAGAGAGACTCAAAACAGGAATGCAATCTGCTCAAGACTGCATGGCAGGAAATGCTTACTTGTAATCAAAATAGTAGCACTTGAGCTGGGCCATGTATCTCTCAAAAGAGGGGATGTCTTTCTTCAGGATACTCCACTGAGCCCCAATTTCAAGGATGTCTCCTTGGATGGCAAGAAGAGAGATGATTAGTAGAGTGTTGACAAACAAAACAAGAAATATGGGGTAGTATTAAGAGCAAACTAATCAAGCCAGCATATTGTCTTCACTTTCAGCCAGGTGAGAGAATGCAACAAGGAGAGCAAATGAAGCTATGAACAGACTGTCAACATATAAAAGCTACATGACTGAACATCAGGAAGACTGGGATTTGGATTGTACTTCTGCCACAAATTCCCCAAGGCAGTGATTCTTGATGGGAAGGGTTGGACTCCAGATTCAACTGGACTTCAACTCTAAGAAACCCCAGACAAGTTCCATCTTGTCTCCTGGATATGCCATAAGCTGGAGACCCCTCTACCCAGCACCAACTGTTGCTCTGGGCCAGAGTGAAAAGAGAGGGGGCCAGGGGACAGTTCCACCTTGTCTTCTGTCCTTTTTTTTTTTTTGTCGTGTCAGGAGAGACTTGAGAAACTGCAAGTCGCTTCTGGTGTGAGAGAATTGGCCGTCTGCAAGGACGTTGCCCAGGGGACGCCCAGATGATTTGATGTTTTTATCATCCTTGTGGGAGGCTTCTCTCATGTCCCCACATGAGGAGCTGGAGCTGGTAGAAGGAGCTCATCCGCCTCTCCCTGGATTTGAACCTGCAACCTGTTGGTCTTCAGTCCTGCCGGCACAGGGGTTTAACCCACTGCTCCACCAGGGGCTTTCCTGTGCTATTCTAATATAATATATTGTATATACATATAATATTTATAATATTGTAATGTAATGCAATATAATAATGTTAATAAAATATATTATAATTATATATTTATATTACATGTAACATTACTAATAATATAACAATATAATGGTATGGTGCAATATAGCAATGTTTAATGTTGATATTGTACTATGTTAATAATATAATATATTGTATGTAATATATACTAGTAAGCCGCTCTGAGCCCCCTTCGGGGTGAGGAGGGCGGCATATAAATGTCGTAAATAAATAAATAAAAACACTGGATAATGAGTGCGGATTGGACATAAAGCATCTTGTGAATCCTCCCTGACTGTCCAAGGTGGTCAGCCTCTAAACCTCCTTCAGAGAATAACAGAAACATAACTCAGTAGCTCAGTTGAGAGATGAGAGTAAGAAACTGTACATTAACTATTTTAGATACTACATAGAAGCTGAATACAAGGTCCAAACTGAGGCTCATAATGTGGTCAAGCTAAATAGTTTTGCATCATCTGAATGAGATACTGCTTAGGAACATTCCGTAATGCCTCTTTAATTCTACAAAACAGATTTAAAATGTAATAAATATGTTTATCAATAAGTCAGAAACAAAAGGGAGCCCTTTTGAAACCTCTACTCATGTTCACAGAAGGGAAGAGCAAGATTTTGTTTTAGCCTCCTTTTCAGACAGAGGGGAGAATCAGACAGCTCTCCAGGTGAGGGTGGCATATCATTCTTAGCACTCCTAACTATTGGTGATGTTCACTGGGAGGTGTAGTACGGCATCGTTCACTCTCCTGGCTTAGAGAAAAGTAACCAATATGGGACACTAGCTATTCTTGGGTTGAGAGGATAATGCTGGGGGGTAGATGGAAAGGTAGGGAGGGGAAAGAATAGTGGCTTGGATTCATCTGCCAGACTTTGCTTCAGGTATGTGCTTGCACCTGGTCTGAACATACTCACTTGCCAAGATAAGCTGCTGTTTAGTTAGTTTTGAGCCTGTGGTGGGAAGGAAGTTGAGTTCAAGCAGGGCTAACTGGAACAGAAAGAAAGGAGAGAAATTACACACAGTTCCTACTTATTGACAACCAATCCTTGCCATGTCAAACCCTCAGGCTCTCAGGACAAATCAGGGAATTGCATTATTATTATTATTTTACTGATACAAAAACACAGTATGACAAAGAAAACAAGATATATATGCTGGATTTTAATACCAATAATTAATTTATTAATGTATTATTAATATCAATGTATCATTATCATTACTTTATTATTATTAGGTAAAGGTAAAAGTTGTCCCCTGACATTAAGTCCAGTCATGTCTTACTCTGGGGTGTGGTGCTCATCTCCATTTCTAAGCTGAAGAGCCAGCGTTGTCTGTAGACACCTCCAAGGTCATGTGGCTGGCATGACTGCATGGAGCATCATTACCTTCCCGCTAGAGCGGTACCTATTGATCTACTTACATTTCCATGTTTTTGAACTGCTAGGTTGGCAGAAGCTGGGGCTGACAGCAGAAGCTCACGCCACTCCCCAGATTCGAACCTGTAACCTTTCCATCAACAAGCTCAGCAGCTCAGTGGTTTAACCCACTGCGCCCCAGGGAGCTCCCCGGTGATCTACTCATAATATAATAATAATACCCCGCTTTGTCTCGCCACAAAGGAGACTCAAAGCAGCAGATCACAAGATGTTTCCCAGCGTGAAGGCTCACAATCTGTGGCAAGTACATTATCCTACTGAAAGACAGCTGGGAGTTTTAGTGCCAGCTGTCTGGTGAGAAGTTTAGCTAGACCACCATTCTCAAGTGTCCATCTCCTCTTTAAAAGGACCCTTTGCCTATGGATCACTTCAGGGATATGATATCTAACATAAAAACAAAGCAAAATTAGAGTCAGGCACCAGTGGTACTCTCCTTTTATAGTGCAGTATAATCCACCTAGAGAAAGTGTTAATTGGGAGTCAAAACACATAGTATTTCCTATCTCACTGACTTTCTGTCTTTGTGGAATTTCTTCCACATTACCTACACAAATACCTCATAAACTGTTAGGAAGGAGTAAGAAACTTGGTGCTAACCAGAGCTTCCGGATTACATTTTCCATAAGCTTCTATCAAGGAACTTTGGTAACAACAACAACAACGGGGTTCTAAATCATACCTGCTACAGGAAACAGAGCCTCCCTATTCAGAGGCAATACTATTTCATTGATAACTAGCCGTCCTCTGCCACGCATTGCTGTGGCCGACTCTGGTGGTCATGATGATTCTGTGTGGGAGGTTTAGCCCAATTCTATCATTGGTTGGAGTCAGAATTATCTGTGATTGTAGATGAACTACAAATCCCAGCAACTCCAACTCCCAAATGTCAAGATTCTATTTTCCCCAAACTCCACCAGTGTTCACATTTGGGCATATTGAGTATTCGTGTAGAGTTTGGTCCAGATCCATCATTGTTTGAGTCCACAGTGCTCTCTGGATGTAGATGAACTACAACCCCAAAACCAAAGGAGACTTCCCATCAAACCCTTTCACTATTTTCTGTTGGTCATGGGAGAACTGTGTGCCAAGTTTGGTTCAATTCCATCATTGGTGGGGTTCAGAATGCTCTTTGATTGTAGGTGAACTATACATCCCTGCAACTACAACTCCCAAATGACAAAATTAGTTTTTTTGAGTGGACACACATTGGGTTGTTAGGGGTCTTGTGTCCAAATTTGGTGTCAATTTGCCCAGTGGTTTTTGAGTTCTGTTAATCCCGCAAACGAACATTATATTTTTATTTATATAGCTGTGCTGGGAATGGCTCTAGCCTCGGTGATCTTCTCCAACTCTAGGACTATGATCTTCTAAGAAAGCTAACCACAAATGTAGGCAACGCTGAGCTGGGTTCTGGCTGCTAGCCTTTGCCATCGTCAAATTATAGCAGCCTGACTCAGGCGGAGGAGCTCATACACAAACAGGAAAAGCAACAACATGGTTGAGTCATCCACCTCTCTTCCGGCGGCCTCCAAGGAATGAGAGGCCTTCTTTCGCTAGGCGCAGAGGCAGCCTTGCCAGTTTTCCAAAACCGGAGAAGGGACAGCTGAAATCCATGACATCAGGAGTTGGCAGCTAGGAAGCAGCTAGTAAAGTTTTTGTTCTACCTAATACAACACACAAACATTGGTTCCAGTTCTCTTAGCCATGTACAGGCAGTCCCCGTGTTACAAACGTCCAACTTATAAATGACTCATAGTTAAGAACAGGGATGAGACAAGAAGAAGTGGGGGAAATCTACCCCTTGGAAGGGAAATTCACTTGTGAAAGGGTTATGACCATGGGGAAAAGCTTTCTCACCAATCCCTGTTTCCACAACAAGCCATTCTTTTCAAAATCTAATTCTTAGAGCAGTGGCTCTCAACCTTCCAAATGCCATGACCCCTTAATACACTTCCTCGTGTTATGGTGACCCCCCCCCCCCAACCATAAAATTATTTTTGTTGCTACTTCATAACTGTCATTTTGCTGCTGTTGTGAATCATAAAATATCTGTTATGCAGGATGTACATTCATTCACTGGACCAAATTTGGCACAAATATCCATTACATCCACATTTGAATACTAATTGGGGGGGGGGGGGTTGATTTTATCCCGTGGGATTTGTAGTTCCTGAGATTTATAGTACACCTACAATCAAAGAGCATTCTAAACTCTACTAATGATGAAATTGAAGCAAACTTGGCACACAGAACTCCCATAACCAACAGAAAATACTGGAAGGGTTTGGTGGGCATTGACCTTGAGTGTTGGAGTTGTAGTTCACCTACATCCAGAGAACACTGTGGACTCAAACAATGATAGATCTGGACCAAACTTGGCACAAATTCTCAGTATGCCCTAATGAGAACACTGGTGGAGTTTGGGGGAAACAGACTTCGACATTTGGGAGTTGTAGTTGCTGGGATTTATAGTTTGCCTACAATCAAAGAGCATTCTGAACCCTACCAATGATTGAATTGGGCAAAGCTTCCCACATAGAACCCCCATGACCAACAGAAAATACTGTTTTCTGATGGTCTTTGGCGACCCTTTCGACACCCCCTCGTGACCCCTCCAGGGATCCTGACCCCCAGGTTGAGAAACACTGTCTTAGAGGGACAGAAAGTGAGCTGAATTTTTTTTTGAACCGGAGCACCGACAGCAAAACAAACCCAGCAGGGGTGTTAAACCTTGTCTATCTAAAACACTGTATTTTCCAGCTTCAAGATGACTGGGCACATAAGAAGACCCCCAATGTTTCAATTTAAAATTTCAATTTTTTTATATACTCGTCGTTATTAGACTACCCCTCTTGCCAGTTGCCAGCCCCTTCAGGTCCTGAAGCCTCCTTTTCTGGGCCTTGAGGAGGCTTCCCAGTTCCATAGAGGCAGCCTCCCTTCCATGGCAGCCAGGCTCCACCACAGCCAGCCAGCCAACCACCGTGCTCATCACTGTATTGGGTCCAAAACATCACTTCCTGTTTTGGATCCAAAACAAGATGGAGGCTCCTAACAGGCGATGGAAGCAGGCAGGGCGCCTGGAGTGAGAAAGCCCCTCGGTCAGGCTGAAGCTCGACAGCGGAAGCCAAGTGGAGCTGGAGGAGCCTCTTGACTCCGGATGTCCTGCTCCAGCGCAGGACAGCTGCCCGCCTACCTCACCTTGACCCAAACAGGAAGCGATATCTTATACCTGGCATATTAGACGACCCCCAAGTTCAGGGAGGATTTTCCTGGGTTAAAAGGTCTTCAGGCCTTCAAATGCTAATGAAGGTGGTCAGTTGAAATATTCACACCTAGCTCCAGCAGAGAAGAGCTCTTTGCCCCACCCCAGCCATTCCACAGATATATAAACCCATTGTCCTAATTCCAACAGACCTCACTACCTCTGAGGATGCTTGCCATAGATGCAGGCGAAACGTCAGGAGAAATGCCTCTAGAACATGGCCCTATAGCCCGAAAAAACCCATAAGAACCCAGCCATGAAAGCCTTCGACAATACATTAGTCATCTAATATGCTGGAAAATACGATATATATCTTTTGGGCTGGAGCTACGCTGGAAAAATGTACTTATTTCAACTTACATACACATTCAACTTAAAAACAAGCCAACAGATCCTATCTTGTTTGTAATTTGTGGGGTGCCTATAGTTTAATACATTGTGTCCATTCATAAGTTACCTGTCTGTCTTTGCAAGGGAGGGACAATGCCTCTTATGTCATTTAATAGATTTGTTTTTATTGCTTTTAACTACCGTATATACTCGAGTATAAGCTGACCTGAATATATCACAAAAAAACTGGGAAAATGTATTGACTTGAGTATAAGCCGAGGGTGGGAAATGCATCCACTATGGGTCAATTTCAAAATAAAAATAGATACCAATAAAATTACACTAATTGAGGCACCAATAGGCTAAATGTTTCTGAATATTTACATAAAACTGTAATTTAAGATAAGACTGTCCAACTCTTATTAAATCATTATTCTAACCTCCTTCAATGTAAATGGACTTATTAAAATAATAAATATAATACAAATAGTAGAGTAAAATAATGAAAATGCAATAAAAACAGTAATAATAGAGTAAAATAATAAATGTAGTAATAATAGGGTAAAATACTGTAAATGCAATAATAATAGAGCAAAATAATAAATTGAATAATAGAGCAAAATAATGTAAATATAATCATAATAGAGTTAAATAATACATGTAATAATATAATACTAATAAAAGAGTAAAAGAATAAATAACCTTGACTCGAGTATAAGCCGAGGGGAGCTTTTTCAGCCTAAAAAAGGGGCTGAAAAACTAAGCTTATACTCGAGTATATACAGTATGTATTTTAAATATTTCTATGTTTAATTCTATTTTAATGTTGAAATATGTTAAGATTCACACATCCTTACAGTTTTTAGTGTTAGCTGCTTTGAGTCTTGTTTGGTAGGAAAAAGAGTGGGGTATAATATATTATTATTATTATTATTCAGGAATCTTTTAGCATTTTGTTTAGTTTACACGTAAGGAAAAGCTTTTCACCCCACCAAGTAAAAGACAGACACTTGCGAGTCCCCGGTGGCACAATGGGATAAACCCTTGTGCTCGCAGGACCGAAGACAGATCGTAGGTTCCGATCTGGGGGGAAAGCATGGATGAGCTCACTCTGTCAGCTCCAGCTCCCCATATGGGGACATGAGAGAAGCCTCCCACAAGGATGGTAAAACATCAAAACACCCAGTCATCCCCTGGGCAACATCCATGGAGATGGCCAGTTCTCTCACACCAGAAGCAACTTGCAGTTTCTCAAGTTGCTCCTGACACATAAACAAACAAACAAAAACTTGACAATCTAAACAGCGGTCAATTGCGAAAGTGTGTGACAATGATACTTCTTTCACGGCATTTTGGAATTCTGGAGATGGATGTTCAACCTGTTGTAGGGGTTACCAGCCTCTTGAAATGACACCACTTTAAGTACTATGGAGTCATGGGAGTTGTAGTTTTCAAAAAGTGTTCAAGCCTTCTCAGCCCAAGAGTACTGGCTCCTTACCAAACTACAAAACTCAGGAGTCAACAGGAATGAACCATGGTAGGTTTTAAATTAAATTCTAATCGATCTTTATTGTATTTGAACTGTAGTTTTAACTTTGTATTCATGACACAAATATGTATTTTTTGCATTTGATTTTTTTTAATTTTAGTGGATTATGTCACATTAGCTGCCTTGAGTCTTTATGGGAAGAAAGGGGGTGATAGAAATAAAGCTAATAATAATAACAACAACAATCATATTGGCAGTTATAGCAGTGCCAAACTGTGTTAAATTTACCCTGTAGATGGAGCCAGAGTGATCCATCTTCAAGCAACCAATCCTCTGTTGAAAATATCCCTTAGATTTTTCACTCTAGTTCATACCATTACCATGTAAGGTAGATCATTTTTTTTTAATCAAAAGGGATAATTTCTAAATCTTTCGACCCACCCCCCAATCCCTGATCTCCACTAGGCAGTTTCTAGATGCCGCAGTCCATCAGATGGATGTTTCTAGACCCCCTTCCCATTAGATGGCAGTTTCTAGACCCCCCTCCCCTTCAGATGGTGGTGTCTAGATCTCCTCCCCATCGGATGACAGTTTCTAGACCTTTCCTTTCTTCAGATTATGGTGTCTAGACCTTCCTTCCCTTCGAATAGCGGTGTCTAGATAGCCCTCCACATCTGATGGCGGTGTCTAGACTTTCCTCCCCATCGGATGGCAGTTTCCAGACATTCCCACCCTTCAGATGGTGGTATCTAGACCTCCCTTCGCTTCGGACGGTAGTGTCTAGGTATCCCTCCGCATCTATTGGCGATGTCTAGACCTTCCTCCCCTTCGAATGGCAGTTTTTTAGGCCTTTCTTCTCTTCAAATGGCAGTGCCTAGACCAGTGTTTCTCAACCTGGGAGTTGTGACGGGGTATCAGAGGGGTCGCCAAAGACCATCAGAAAACACAGTATTTTCTGTTAGTTATGGAGGTTCTGTGTAGGAAGTTTAGCAAAATTCTATCGTTGGTGGGGTTCAGAATGCTCTTTGATTGTAACTGAACTATAAATCCCAGCAACTACAACTCCCAAATATCAAGGTATATTTTCCCCAAACTCTGCCAGTGTTCACATTTAGGCATATTGAGTATTCGTGCCAAGTTTGGTCCAGATCCATCATTGTTTGAGTCCACAGTGCTCTCTGGATGTAGGTGAACTACAACTCCAAACTCAAGGAATGCCCACCAAACCCTTCCAGTATTTTCTGTTGGTCATAGTCTGTGTGCCAAGTTTGGTTCAATTCCATGCTGGTGGAGTTCAGAATGCTCTTTGATTGTAGTGAACTATAAATCCAAGCAACTACAACTCCAAATGACAAAATCACCCCCCCCCCCCCCCACCCCAGCAGTATTCAAATTTGGGCATTTCAGGTATTTGTGCCAACTTTGGTCCACTGAATTGATGCACATCCTGAATATCAGATATTAACATTATGATTCATAACAATAGCAAAATTACAGTTATGAAGAAGCAACAGAATAATGCTATGGTTGGAGGTCAGCACAACATGGGGAACTGTATTAAGGGGTCACAGCATTAGTAAAGTTGAGAAACACTGGTCTAGACCTTACTTTACTTCAGATGGCAGTGTTTAGATCTCCCTTTCCATCCGATAGCGGTGTCCTGACCTCCCTCCCCATCAAATGGCAGTTTCTAGACCTTCCTTCCCTTCAGATGGCAGTTTCTAGACCTTCCTCCCCCTCTTCAGGTGGGCGTTTCTTGACCTTCCTTCCCTTCAGATGGTGGTGTCTATACCTCCCTCCCCATCGGATGGCAGTTTCTAGACCTCCCTTCCCATCAAAAGGCAGTTTCTAGACCCCCCCCTCCCTTCAGATGGCGGTTTCTTGACCTTCCTTCCCTTCAGATGGCGGTTTCTTGACCTTCCTTCCCTTCAGATGGTGGTGTCTAGACCTCCCTCCCCATCGGATGACAGTATCTAGACCCCCCCCATCAAATGATGGTTTCTTGACCTTCCTTCCCTTCAGATGGTGGTGTCTAGACCTCCCTCCCCATCGGATGACAGTATCTAGAGCCCCCCATCAAATGACAGTTTCTAGACCTTACTTCCCTTCAGATTGTGGTGTCTAGACCTCCCTCTCCATCGGATGACAGTATCTAGACCCCCCCATCAAATGGCAGTTTCTAGACCCCCCCTTTCCTTCAGATAGCGGTGTCTAGACCTTCCTTCCCTTCAGATGATGGTGTCTAGACCTCCCTCCCCATCGGATGACAGTATCTGGACCCCCCCCTCAAATGACGGTTTCTAGATCTTCCTCCCCTTTGGATGGGTGTTTCTTTACATTCCTTCCCTTCAGATGGTGATGTCTAGATCTCCCTCCCCATCAAATGGCAGTTTCTAGATCCCCCTTCCCTTCAGATGGCAGTTTCTAGACCTTCCTCCCCTTCAGGTGGGCGCTTCTTAACCTTCCTTCCCTTAAGATGGTGGTGTCTAGACCCCCCTCCCCATCAGATGGAAGTTTCTAGACCTCCCTTCCCATCAAATGGCAGTTTCTAGACCCCACCTTCCCTTCAGATGGCAGTTTCTAGACTTTCCTCCCCTTTGGATGGGTGTTTCTTGACATTCCTTCCCTTCAGATGGTGATAGATCTCCCCCTCAAATGGCAGTTTCTAGACCCCCTGTTTCCTTGAGATGGCAGTTTCTAGACCTTCCTTCCCTTCAGATGACGGTTTCTAGACTTCCCTTCCCTTCAGATGGCAGTGTCTATTTATTTATTATTATTTACTTATTTACTTTGCTTATATACCGCTGTATCTCAAGCCCGAAGGCGACTCACAGCGGTTCACAAACAGTAAAAACAGTAGAAACAGCAGTGGTTCCATACAACATATAACAATTGACTTAACACATTATCCATAAATTACCAATAAGCAGTTACAATGCACAATTATTACGAAAAACAACCGTACCCAATCTTCTCATCATCCAAGCGTAGTCCAGGTTCGTCGTCCATTGTTCCATTCCTATGTTCCATTACCAGATTGCACTAAATTCCTCAAACGCCTGCACAAACATCCAGGTCTTCACCTTTTTTGCGGAATACCATTAGAGATGGTGCTAGTCTAATGTCCGTAGGAAGGGCGTTCCACATCCGAGGAGCCACCACCGAGAAGGCCCTATCTCTCGTCCCCGCCAGCCGAGCTTGAGAAGCAGGCGGGATCGAGAGCAGGGTCTCCCCGAAGATCTCAAAGTCCTGGTGGGTTCATAGGCAGAGATGCGGTCAGATAGGTAGCTTGGGCCAGAACCGTTTAGGGCTTTAAAGGCCAACGCCAGCACTTTGAATTCAGCCCGGTAGCAGATCGGTAGCCAGTGGAGTTGGCGCAACAGGGGGGTTGTATGCTCCCTGCGCTCCGCTCCTAGACCTCCCTCTAGACCTCCCTCTCCATAGGGTGGCGGCTTCTAGGCTTCCCTTCCCTTCAGATGGCGGTTTCTAGCCCCCCCTTCCCTTCCCTTCCCTTCCCCGCTCACACCTTGAGGCGGCCCAGCAGGTCCCCGCACTTGTGGAGGTTGAGGTTCTTTCGGTTCCACTCGGCGCGCAGCTGCTCGTACATGCCGGCGGCCTCCTGGAGCCCGGCCACGCTGCCCGCCTCGGCTCCGTTCAGCACCGGGCCCCCCGCCATCGCCCCTGCCGCCATCACCACTGTCGTCCCCGCGGCCATGAATCGGCAACACCGGCGCCGCCCCTTACGGCACCCTGCGCGACAGCCTTTGCTTGACGGCAGGCTCCCTCTCGGCCTGTCTCCATGGAAACCGCTCCTCTCTGATTGGCCCGTGCTCGATGCGTCACGGAGGCCCCGCCCCCTTCCCTCGAGCATGCGCAGAAAGGGAGCAACGGCTGTGAGGGAGGGACGGAGCGTCGCCCGAGGAGGCCCCCTTGGCGGGGTGGGCTTCAGAGGCTGGGAAGGAGGGAAAGGGCGGAGGGGAACCGGGGCGGAGAAGCCGGGAAGAGTTTGCCCTTAACGGAGAGACAGGCGGAGGTCGCCATAGCGATGTGAAAGTGGGGGTCGCGACGTCACGCGCGAGGGGCGTGGCCTCCCTTGAGTGGGCGGGGCCTCCGACCGGAAGTGGCTCTGGATTGGAGAGGTTGTTCCCAGAGAGGGAATCTCCTTGGAGGCTCTCCTTTGGAAACCATCCTCATCCACATGCAAAGCCATATACACACAGAAAGGGCCCAAAGTGGGAAAGGGATTGCCTGCCTTCTCCTTTGCTACAGAAACAACCCGCCCAGAAATCAAAACAAGGAAGGAAGTGGGTTCGTGTGGGTTTTCTGGCCATGTTCCAGAAGCATTCTCTCCTGACGTTTCCCCCACATCTATGGCAGGCATCCTCAGAGGCTGTCATTTCACCACTCTAGAATCATAGAATCAAAGAGTTGGAAGAGACCTCATGGGCCATCCAGTCCAACCCCTTATGCCAAGAAGCAGGAATATTGCATTCAAATCACCCCTGCCAGATGGCCATCCAGCCTCTGTTTAAAAGCTTCCAAAGAAGGAGCCTCCACCACACTCCGGGGCAGAGAGTTCCACTGCTGAACGGCTCTCACAGTCAGGAAGTTCTTCCTCATGTTCAGATGGAATCTCCTCTCTTGTAGTTTGAAGCCATTGTTTCGCATCCTAGTCTCCAAGGAAGCAGAAAACAAGCTTGCTCCCTCCTCCCTGTGGCTTCCTCTCACATATTGATACATGGCTATCATATCCCCTCTCAGTCTTCTCTTCTTCAGGCTAAACATGCCTAGCTCCTTAAGCCGCTCCTCATAGGGCTTGTTCTCCAGACCTTTTATCATTTTAGTCGCCCTCCTCTGGACACATTCCAGCTTGTCAATATCTCTCTTGAATTGTGGTGCCCAGAATTGGACACAATATTCCAGATGTGGTCTAACCAAAACAGAATAGAGGGACTGGGCGAGTTGTTTCTACAACATACAATATTTAAAACCATTAACAGGCTAGTATACAAATAATGACACATCAATAACAACACATTAGCATCTCGTAACTAAAATCGTGATCCAATTCGTCATCCATAAATCCATTCCTATATTCATCGTTCAATTGCACTATTTATCTGAATGCCTGTTCAAACAGCCAGGTTTTTAGTTTTCTTCGAAACACCATTAACGAAGGGGCTGATCTAATGTCCATGGGAAGGGCGTTCCACAGCCGAGGGGCCACCACAGAGAAGGCCCTGTCCCTCGTCCCCGCCAGCCGTGCTTGCGAGGCAGCGGGATCGAGCGCAGAGCCTCCCCAGAAGATCTTAGAGTCCTGGTGGGTTCATAGGCAGAGATATGTTCAGATAGGTATCTTGGGCCAGAACCGTTTAGGGCTTTATAGGCCAACGCCAGCACTTTGAATTGAGCCCGGTAGCAAATCGGCAGCCAGTGGAGCTGGTGCAGCAAGGGAGTTGTATGCTCCCTGCGCTCCGCTCCTGTTAGTATCCTTTTGACAACACAAGGGAGGAACTGCTCTGCTTTTCCAGCTGAAGGAATTACTGTAATATTGTGATATTTTCCGCCTTGATATTCTGGGATATGGGGCTGTGTGGGAGAGCCCTTAATAATAATAATAATAATAATAATAATAATAATAATCTTTATTTATATCCCGCCACCATCTCCCCAATGGAGAGTTAGAGCGGCTTACATTGGGCCAAGCCCAGACAACATGTTACAGCAAAATAACGCCAAAACATAGACAATAAACAACATCATCAAAATTACATAGAAAAAGAATCACACACAATAACAAAATGTCATTCCAATAAATACACTTCCTTCCCTTAGAAGGGAAATTCCCTCAGCCTATACTAAACTAACTGCTCCTCGTTGAAGACTTGAGACTTGGGCAGTGTGGAGTTTAATTCCAACAATAGTAACTGTTCCAGGAGTGGATTTCTCTTCTGAGGGGTAGATATCTCTTATTTTCTATTGTCTCACCCCCATTCTCAACTAGGAGTCGTTTGTAGGTCGGATGTTTGTAACTCGGGGACTGCCTGTACTCTTCAAACACTATAACTGATGATCTATTCCAGTTTCCTTTCAAGTACTTCACAACCAGTTGCATCTCTGGCTTGAACTTCCCAGTTAGATTAAAATGGTCAAGTCTGTCCATTTCAGCTTAGGGTTCACCTGCACATAGAATCATAGAACAGTTTGGCTTTACTACATATCAGCATAACTGCTTTCTTTGGACAGTTCCAACAAATATAAGATCCTTGTTCATCCTTTTTAACACAGTTTCTCGGGTATACAGTACACAGTACACAGCCTTTATTGACATACAGTAACAAAATCATATAATCCAGTTTAAAGAAGTACACCTGGGATCAGATCATGGGTTATAGGGCCTGTCTGAACAAACCTTTTGGAATATTCTGCGTTCTTCCACCCAAAAGAGCTGCTGGCAACCAATGCCAAAGCTCTGCTCTGGGTGGAATTAATCATAATGCAAAGATAAACTGCCATGACTCCATGCTCACATAGAATTAATGATGCAGGGAACAAGTCATCTTTGCTGCAAGAGTTCGGCTCCTTCTACACTACCAGATGTTGTTGTTTGTTGTTATTTATTCATTCAGTCGCTTCCGACTCTTCGTGACCTCCTGGACCAGCTCACACCAGAGCTCCCTTTCGGCCATCACCTCCCCCAGCTCCTTCAAGGTCAAGGCAGTAACTTCAAGGATACCATACCTCCACCTTGCCCTTGGTCAGCCCCTCTTTCTTTTTCCTTCCATTTTCCTCAGCATCATTGTCTTCTCCAAGCTTTCCTGCCTCCTCATGATGTGGCCAAAGTACTTAATCTTGGCCTCTCCTATCCTTCTCTCCAATGAGCAATCAGGCTTTATTTCCTGAAGTATGGACCGGTTGGATCTTCTCGTGGTCCAAGGCACTTTCAAAATTTTCCTCCAACACTACAGTTCAAAAGTGTCTCTCTTCCTTCGCTCAGCCTTCCCTATGGTTCAGTTCTCACATCCATAGGTTACTACGGGGAATGCCATTGCTTTCACTAGGCAGACCTTTGTTGCCAGTGTGATGTCTCTACTCTTTATTATTTTATCGAGATTGGTCATTGCTCTCCTCCTAAGAAGTAAACGTCTTCTGATTTCCTGGCTGCAGTCTGCATCTGCAGTAATTGTTGCACCTAGAAATACAAAGTCTGTCACTGCCTCCATGTTTTCTCCCTCTATTTGCCAGTTGTCAATCAGTCTGGATGTCATCATCTTGGTTTTTTTGATGTTTAACTAAGGAGCCTTCTAACCTTGGTTAAAAGGCTCCTTAACTCCTCCTCACTTTCAACCATCAAAGTGGTATCATCTGCATATCTAAGGTTGTTATTATTATTATTATTATTATTATTATTATTATTATTAAACTTTATTTGTACCCCGCTAGCATCTCCCGAAGGACTCGACGCGGCTTACAAAGGCCAAGGCCTCAACACACAATATACAATACAAAACCTAAGGCAAATTAAAAACAATTAAAGCAATATAAACAACAAGCAATAAACAATACACTAAGACACAATAAAACTGGGCCAGGCCAGAGTAATGGGGTACAGGATTAAAAGTGCTGATGTGACAGGTGGCGTATAAGGCTTATAGGGCAAGTTTATAGGGCAAGTTAATGTTTTTTCAAGCAATTTTAACCCCAGCCCTGCATTCATCAAGCCCCGCACATTGCATGATGCGTTCTGCATACAAGTTGAATAGGTTGGGGGAGAGTATACAACCCTACCGTACGCCTTTCCCAATCTTGAACCAGTCTGTTCCGTGGTCTGTTCTGCTGTTGCTACTGGGTCGTTATACAGATTCCTCAGGAGACAGACAAGGTGATTTGGTCTCCCCATACATACCACCAAGAACTTGCCACAATTTATTACGTGGTCAAAGGCTTTAGAATAGTCAATAAAACAGAAATAGATGTGTTTCTATTTTGAGACCCCCCCAGGGGTGAGAAAGGCGATATATACATACTTTAAATAAATAATAAAATAATTTTTCTGAAACTCCCTACCCTCCTCCATTATCCAGCGGAAATTGCCAATTTGGTCTCTCGTTCCTCTGCCTTTTCTAAACCCAGCTTGTCCATCTGGCCACTCTCTTTCCATGTCTTGCTGGAGCCTTCCTTGCAGAATCTTGAGCATTACCTTACTGGCATGTGAAATAAGTGCCACTGTATGAAAGTTTGAGCATTCTTTAGCATTTCCCTTTCTTGGTGTGGGGATTTTTTCCAGTCTGATGGCCATTCTTGTGTTTTCCATATTTGCTGGCAAATGGCATGCATCACCTTGACAGCATCATCTTTTAAGATTTTAAACAGTTCAGCTGGGATCCCGTCATCTCCTGCTGCCTTGTTAGCAATGCTTCTTAAGGCCCATTCAACCTCACTCCTCAGGATGTCGGGTTCTAATTCACTCACCACACCGTCAGTACTATCCTCAATATTATTATCCTTCCTATATAGATCTTCTGTATAGTCTCACCACCTTTTATTGATCTCTTCAGCTTCTGTTAGGTCCTTACCATCATTGTTTTTTTATCATTTACTTCGAATGTTTCTAATTTTCTGGAAGAGGTCTCTTGTCCTTCCTATTCTGTTGTCTTCTTCCACTTCCACGCATTGCTTGTTTTAAAATAGTTCCTTATCTCTTCTGGCTAACCTCTGGAATTGTGCATTTAATTGGGCATATCTCCTCCTATCACTGTTTCCTTTTGCTTTCCTTCTTTCTCGGGCTACTTCCGGTGTCTCAGCAGACAAGCAGATGATACAGGTTACAAAGCAGATAATCCACATCTGATTAGAACTGGATTATCTTAGTCTACACTGCCATGTAATCAAGTCCAAAGCAGATAATGTGGATTTTATACAGCTTGTAGAAAGGACTTTAGATTATGAAAGTCAAGATCCAGTGTTAAAACAGTTAAAATTCTCATTCAGATCCAATGCTGAAACAGTACGAAGATGAAAAAGACATTAAAATATGGCAGTGCAGATTATTCATATAATCCAGTTCAAAGCAGATAATCTGAGTTACCCACTTTGATAATCTGGATTATATGGCAGTGTAGAAGGGGCCCAAAAAAATTCAAAAGCAATCTAGAAATGGTTCTGAAATCTAATTTGGATACGTAATATCAAGCATAATAGAGTATCTTTGTACTCCATATGTGAAAATAAAATGCTCTCTAAAATACCATTCAAAAACAGTCCTAGAATCCAGTTTGGAAACCCCTGAAGTAAAGCAATTCTAATCATAATAGTACATTTATACTCTAGACTGCTGAGATTCCTTCCCAGCTCCATTGAACCTCACTATGGGCCCTTCCACACAGCCATATAACCCAGAATATCAAGGCAGATGATCCACAATGTCTGCTCTGAACTGGGTTATCTGAGTCCACACTACCATATAATCCAGTTCAATGCGGATGTTATACAGCTGTATGGAAGGGGCCTATTGTGTATCAAATGGGGGCTATTTTACAAACCTCCCCCTTTTTGGACACTTTAGAGTGTGATCAAACATTGGGCAAAGGCCATAATGCCAGGCAATGCCTTATGTATGTGTGCGTACATGAATGTGCGATCACACATGAAGTTCAAAGGGTGATTTAAATAAGAATCTGAGTTCTGGGTTTATTTGTCATTTGATAGGTTCACCTCTGAGAAGATCTGTCATGTGGAGATTTCTTGTGGCCAGGCTGCTCCCTTTCCTCCTGCAGCCAGTGTATACGCTCTCCGAATCAGATTGTCAGTGGATGGCTGTAGTCAACAGGTTTGATAACCTCGGAGATGACAAGAACATTTTCTTCCAGCAGCATGAAGTTCCTTCAGTAAAGGATGTCTTCAAAGAGCTGGTGGATTCGGCCATAGACCCTGATGACAAAAACGCAGTGAGTACTAGCAGCCGTGTTTAGAAGTGGGAGACGAGAGAAAGGAGAAGATCCAGAAGTGTTATTGGGTTACACAGGTTGGCAAAAGTATGATAGCTGGGACCCAATGCTGGTTTCGCGACATGGGTCAAAATTAGAGAAGCGAAGATGTTACGTATTTGAACGTGTTTGTATACAATATCTGGATAGCCTCAAGCACTATGCTTGGCTGTTTGTTGTCCCCCCCCCCTTTTCTGGCGAACTATCTTGCCACGACTCTGTTACACCTTCATCTCTCACTTGCTGCGCTGTCTCGGCATTGGGTCCCAGCTATCATACTTTTGCCCATAGGTCTCCAACTGAAGCTGTTTTCACACTGTATCATAAGCCACATAGAGCTCTTCGGGCCCCATTTACACTGCCATATAATGCAGTTTGAAATGTTTGGAAAATTGCATTCATAACTTTTTGGAAAATGCCTTTTAGAGAAGAGCCAAAGACCCTTTAGAATTAAATCTAATATAATTATGCTAGGCAATGGTTTCAGTTGTCAGGCTGAATAACCACTTATCTCTGAACTGTTAGGAAAACGGATTTTGCCAGTGCATAAAAACAGTGCCATATATATGTTTTTCAGTGCCCCATACACACACACACACACACACATATATATACACACTCTCCCATAAAACAACTTGTGTTATATCATGCACTCAGGAGACAAAAATGAAGTAGACTTGGATAAAGGTGATTTGGTTTACTCACAGCCTTCATGTGTTCAGCATACATAGGAACAAAAAAGTATTTGTCCAGTTTCCAATATGTTTGAGATAATTCTCAGTGCCATCCGGCCAGGCATCTTTAACAGAAAGCTTGTGATCTGAGGTCTGAAGAAGTCTGTAGTCAGCTATCTGCAGTCTGTTTGTAATAGTCTGCCTGCAGTCTGATCATGTGGTCTGCAGCCCCATTTATAACTTCTCAGGAAACATAGAGTAAAAGAAGCTGCATACCAGAACACACATACAAAAAGTAAGCAACAGGATCATAGATAAACATTAGTAAAGAAGAAGGCTTGAAGAAGGTTGTCGTTCCCAACAGAAAGGGTCATTGTAGACTCGTATAATGTATTTAATAATATGGTCAGTGTATACTCATATAATGCAGTTAAATTGCATTATACAAGTCTGCATTGACCATACATTGCCGTTTCAAACAGCATTAAATGGCAGTGTAGATGGAGCCCCGGAGTGGGGATGGAAGCGGGGATACAGGAGTCATAAAAATAATAAAACTACTGGTTCAGACTGTCTGTTCTAACATTCCAATTTCACATGATCCCAGTTAATTTTCCAATCTGTTTTCACTAGCAAACTCTTCGTGTCCGATACCAGACTATTTCTGGACACTTGGAAAAAGGTATTATCTCAAACCAAGGATTTAAATAGCTTTATTGTGTTTTTCTCTCCTGTTGCCTACTTTTGGAAGCATCGAGAGGGAAAAGTTATGAAACCTAAACATTAATACTGTGAAAGCACTAGGTCACAGCAACTAGGCAGACACATGCTTAGTTATTACCTGGGAGGGATAATATCAGGTGCTATCAACCAATGGTTTCATAGAATCATGGAATAGGAAGAGACCACATGGGCCATCTAGTTCAACCTCCTGCTATGCAGGAAAAGCACCTCAAACAGATGGCCATCCAGCCTCTGCTTAAAAACCTCCAAGGAAGGAGCTTCCACCACACTTTGAGGCAGAGTTCTGTCAGAAATATTAAAAATTAACTAAGTATTTTTAATTACAAAAAAATGTAAGTCGAGCACTTAAAAGGGTTCATAATATTTATTTATTTCATGCATTTGTATCCCTGTCCTTCTCACCCCCGAGGGGGGACTCAGGGCGGCTTTACAACAGGTAACCATTAGATGCCAAACATTATTTAAACAATCATAATTGAGACAACAATTTAAAACAGTTATAAACATCTATTTAAAATTTAAAATTCCACCAGTTTAAAATCATGATCCAAGCTCAGTCCAATTACCCGTCGCATAGGGTCATTCTCATTCAAATTGCTGTATCTGTTGTTCAAAAGCTTGATCCCAAAGTCAGGTTTTAAGTTTTTTATGAAAGGCCAGGAGGGAGGGAGCAGATCTGATTTCATTGAGGAGGAAGTTCCACAGCCTAGGAGCCACCACTGAGAAGGCCCTATTTCTCATCCCCACCAATGGATGCAATGACTCGGCAAAAGCTGCAGTTTAATATAAGCAGGTGTGCCTGTAGCTTAGTATGCTTCGGTGTTAGTCGCCCTCAGTCTGAGAGAGGCCTCAGTGTGAGAGGCCTCAGCATAAGAAGGCTCCAGTGTTAGTTTTCCTCAGCATGAGAACGCCTCAGTTAGTAGGCCTCAGTGTATGAGAGGCCTGGGATGAAAAGGCCCAGGTTGAAGGCCTTGTGTGTAAAGCTCCAGTGTGAAGGCTGCTGTGTTTAAAGGCTACTGTGTGAAGATCCTGTGTAAGTTTAGTGTGAGAAGAAGCTCTGTGAGAGTGAGGGTGTTTATCTGCATGAGGAAGGAGCCCAGCATGAAAGCAACGAGGGAAGTATAAAGAACTTTATTTGTGTTATGGAAACCTTGTTCTTGTAAATAGTGCAACCATCTTATTTTGCTATAAAGAAAAACCTCTCAAGGAAGCGATAACATTGGTCTGTGTGTTCTTTATTCTTTTTATCAAGTTACTCTGCTGTACATTTATGAGGAGGGTCTTTTGTTAATAAGCCCACTCGCCCAATAAGTTCCACTGCTGAACAGCTGTCACAGTCAGGAGGTTCTTCCTAATGTTCAGGTGGAATCTCTTTTCCTGTCATTTGAACCCATGGCTCCGACTCCAAGTTGTCAGTGGCATCTCCGCACAGCAAGGCAAGGAAACACATTGATCACAGTCTCTTTTATGCTATAAACTAATTTATTGTACAACTATTTACGTTAGAAGCTAAGCACATCATAAAACTTCTTCTTCTCCATCCGGCAGCTACATCTTGAACACATCGTTATCAGTAGCAGTCCACACCTCCTGCATTCCAGAGTGACGTATGACATACGACACCCTAAGCTGCTCTCTATACTAAGATTTATGACCTCTCTAGTAATGCCAATTCCCTTCATGGTTCAGTTAACTCCACACAGGAATTACACTCAGCACATAGCATTGCATCTTTAAACTTACAAACACACTTTGAAATCTACATTACATTTCAAAACACATCAACACTAGTCTCCAGGGCAGCATGAAACATTGTTTTCCTTATGACATCCTTTTAAATATTTATACATGGCAACCACGTCTCCTCTCAACCTTCTCAGATCTTAGATTCCTCAGATATTTTGAACCTCATCTCTTAGAATTTCAGATTCTTGGCTGAACTGACTCCTGGAAGTCGGAGTCTCAAATATGTGTTGGATCAAAGTTAGAGGAAAACTGTTATAGAACAGCAAAGGCAGATAATCCGTGGGTCTTCCTTGCTATGTGAACACTGTTGTTGATAGAATTGTTCTGATGTGTTTGCATGGGACTGTGTCCCTCTTCTCATGAGGTGGTCATTGACCATAATAAAGTGAACTTGATAGAATTGTCATAGATTGACAGGAGATTTCAAAACATATCGTTTCCTTTTAAAGACATTTAAATAAGCAATGAAATAACAGCATTGTACACAACTGACCAACATCTATTGCCCAGTTCTAGTTGTATTCCCAAGGAAAGGAAGAATAATTGTGACTGCCATTGGAACTTGTCTATTGAAAGACAAAGTTCAAAGAAAACTGTCTGAAATCATCAAAGTAGTTTTTGTCTCAAGCAGGCAGGACAAGAAACCAGAGAAAGGGGAGAGGGCGATTCTAGGCAGCATGGGTCCTGCTTACTAATTGGTGAGAGAGAATACTTCAGGTTAGGATATCCTTCATCCCCAATAGGAAAGGATGGTTCATGACAAGAACTAATATTGCATTTATTTATGCAGCCAGCTGAACTGGTCATCAGCCATTTAGAATTTTAGAGGATGGTTCTGCAGAGATTCAGACACAAACTTGTCCACGCTTGCAAGATTTTGTGGTGATGGGTTGCCATGAGTTTTTCAGGCTTTGTGGCAATGTTACTCAACGTTGTGTTCTCCAAATGGAAACTGCTGCTGAAATAGCTCTCTTTTTTCACAGAAATACCTGGGGTTTCCATACTACTTGAAAATTAACCTGACCTGCAAAACACTGGTAAGGGCAAGGCTGCAAACTTGGCAAAAGCCTACTGGATCTTGGTGGGACGTGAATTCAGATTTCAAAGGTGCTTCCTGAAGCCTACCCACTGTTCCAACACGGTGGAGATCTGCAAATCCACTTTCAAGCCATTGCTTTTAAATGCTAATGTGGTTTTATGGTTTTATTGTTGCTGAACAACTGAACTCATTTCATTAGTCCAATTTCCAGAAGTCTGAGCAGGAAGTTTTATTGTGAAATGTTTTAAAAGGCATTTTGGGGGAAAGACAATTGAAATATTTTCTAATATATTTTTTTTGCTTCCTAGTGTGCTGTTGGGGAGAGAATCCAAACATGGTGGAAATGGGTTGTTGTAGGTTTTTTCAGGCTATATGGCCATGTTCTAGAGGCATTTCTCCTGACGTTTCGCCTGCATCTATGTCAAGCATCCTCAGAGGTAGTGAGGTCTGTTGGAACTAGGAACATGGGTTTATATATCTGTGGATACCCTTTTTCCTAGTTCCAACAGACCTCACTACCTCTGAGGATGCTTGACATAGATGCAGGCGAAACGTCAGGAGAAATGCCTCTAGAACATGGCCATATAGCCTGAAAAAACCTACAACAACCCAGTGATTCCGGCCATGAAAGTCTTCGACAATACATGGTGGAAATGTTTTTCTCACCTCTCTATTGCCTGTGAAAACAACCTTGGAGAGAGCCACATGCGGCCCATGGGTCGTGCCTTGGCCACCTCTGCTCTAGAGTCACCACCCTGTAAAGTTTTGTACTGCTCTCCTTTTCCAGGACTCTGAAATGGCACTTCGGACAGCTCATTACAGTGGACTGAAACCGGTTGTGACTGTCACTTTTGAAGAACCCGCCCACTCTGTGCGTCAAAAACAAGAGCAATTGCAGATCGAAATGACTGCAGCTCCATTCAGGATAGGAGGTATTTTGATATTTATTTATTTATTTATTTACTATATTTCTACCCTGCCCTTCTCACCCCGAAGGGTACTCAGGGCAGTTTACAACAGGCAACAATTCAATGCCGCACAAACATGCATACAAACATATACATTAAAACCAAAAAGTTAAAAAAAATCTGAACTCAACATTATAATAAATTATTAAAACCACGTAATCCAGTTCTTACTTAGGCGATCCCTCATTGTCCGAGTAAGATTGTTCTTCAAGTGTGGTGTCCTGGTGGTTGGTACGTAGGTGACTGTGAGGGCCTGTTCTTGACCTGCATGTTTGTTGCGGTTTTACAGTCTATGCGGAACCTACTCAGTCTTTCCAGCCCCAGCCCTCTGTCGAATCACACAGAGTCAGAGTAAAAGGAAAAACAATTTTTACTCTTGAGTAGTCAGAGATAAATATGCAGCTTTATAAAATAATCAGCCTTGAAAATAAACTTCGTCCATTGCAGCAAAATAACTCACACAAAGTCCAATGCATTAAAACCATGCATTCTCTGCTTCTTCAATGGAGCAAGGAGTCTTGTAGTAAAAGGTCCAGAACTTCAGCAAGTCCTGTAGTAAGTCCATAGAAGTCCCATCTGGTCTCTTCTCAGTCATTTGATCACCTTTTCTCTGAATACACCATGAAGCACTCCTCATGATATACTCCATGCAGGGAGTGGCTCAAGCTTAATTGTCCAGATTTTTTTCCTCAACAAACACACACACACACACACAGGAGATGATTCTTGCAAAGACTTAGCATACATATGCTCATCCTGTAACAATGTTCTCCCGCAGTGAGGGCATCGGTTTCCAGGTGGAAGACAGTCCCGGTTGGGGTTGGCTTGATGCGCCATCCTCATAGCACGTTTCTCTCTTTCGCCCTCTATTCGTGCCTCTTCAAATTATACAGCACTGCTGGTCACAGCTGACCTCCAGCTGGAGCGCTCAAGGGCCAGGGCTTCCCAGTTCTCAGTGTCTATACCACAGTTTTTAAGGTTGGCGTTGAGCCCATCTTTCAATCTCTTTTCCTGCCCACCAATATTCCATTTACTGTTCTTGAGTTCAGAGTAGAGTAACTGCTTTGGGAGACATGATCGGGCATTCAGACAATGTGGCCGGTCCAGTGGAGTTGATGGCGGAGGACCATCGCTTCAATGCTGGTGGTCTTTGCTTCTTCCAGCACACTGACATTTGTCCACCTGTCTTCCCAAGAGATTTGCAGAATCATAATCCGAAGCCGTTCCAGTTCTCATTGCACTATTCTGTGTTTACTTATTGAAAATTTATTGCCTGAAAGCTTGGTCCCACATCCACATTTTTAATTTCTTTCTGAAGGTCAGGAGGGAAGGGGTTGATCTAATTTCATTGGGGAGAGAAAGGAGAATAGAGAGAAAGGATTCCCCGAAGTACAAGGGCAAGAGGCCACTATACACCAAAAAGTAATACAGTTATATAATCATAAGAATGAATATCATATCTATGCTATAGTACTACAACATGCAATGTAGTAGTAGCTTGTACAAAGTATACTTAACAACAATTCATAATGCAAATCTCTAAACCATGTGGGATAAACAACTAATCCTACATTAAAATGCACAAGTTTGTAAGTCCTTTTTGAAAACCAAAAGTTTATCAATGCCAAATCAAAGTTCGTTAGCCACTCATATGTGTTCCCTGTAGGTTCACGTCATTGTTGACTCTCTACTTTGCAAAACTGACTATTCGAGGATTTCTACACTTGTATCAACTACTACCTGAGGAAGACTCAACGTTGTCGAAACCAGTTGTGGTTTATAAACTGTTGATTCCAAAAAAGGACTGTCATACTTGGATTGGTTGTTGACAAACTTTGGTTAAAAAAGGACTTACAAACTTGTGCATTCCACTGTAGGAATCAGCTGTTTGTCCCATATTAAGAAGTTTGTGATTAAGAGACTTGCAAAAAAGGACTTGCAAACATTGATTTGGCATTGATAAACTTTTGGTTTTTAGAAAGGGCTTACACACTTGTGCATTTTGCTGTAGGAATTAGTTGTTTATCCCACTCTAGCTGTCCCCTGCCATACGTTGCTTGGCCCAGTCTGTGTATATGTGTTTTGCGTGTGTATATATTTATGTATATGTATATATATGTGTGTGTGTGTGGTTTTATGCCTGCATTGTAATGTATTTTTTGGCTTTTTGGCTTTTTAAGTCTCTTCTGGTGTGTTTTTCAGTGTTTTTATGAGTGATGGTCCCTCGTTGGCCTGATAGGTGTCTTGTGTCCAAATTTGGTGTCAATTCGCCCAGTGGTTTTTGAGTTATGTTAATCCCGCAAACGAACATTACATTTTTATTTATATAGATAAGGATTTTTTTGGCTTAGAGATTTGCATTGTGAATTGCTGTTAAGTATACTTTGTATAAGCTGCTAGTACATTGCATGTTGTAGTACTATAGCATAGATACAATATACATTCTTATGATTATATAACTGTATTACTTTTTGAGGGACAGGAGAAACCACCCAAGAGGAAGACACATCAAATGAGCCCTTGCTGTGACAGCCTTCCATTTGGCAATCTATGTCCTCACTGTAGGTCCAAAATATATCTCTACAGTCACTTACAGAACCACTGCCAAGACTCTACTCTTGGAAGACAATCATAGACGACCACAAGTGATTGCTTGTGAGATGTGTTTTTCTTCTAAATACTGATTGAAACTTATATCATTTCCAGATAGTGAATACCCCTGGCATGTGGCAATGGCTTTGCAAATAAATCCACAAAGTTACCTGCCAATCTGGATTATTAATACTAATTAATATTACTCGATCGGTTGTAATGCACTTGTGTTTCTGTTTGTTCTCTGAGCGTGCCCTGTCTCCAAAAGGTTGCAGAAGCGATGAGGTTTGCAAGATGTGCTGGTACACGCCGATGCCCTTCATGAATGGCAGTGTCGTCATGGATGTGATTGTGGCCAGCAATCACCTTGGCATGACAGTGGACGATAAGAGGTGAGAGAAATGCTTCGGTTTGTGATGCAACGTTCAGCATATAGCTTGAGTGAACACAATATTGAGTGAACACTTCTTCACCTGTGTACCGAGCTTTGGAAATAATTTTAAGGTGTTTTCCAAGAGATTGGAACACCCAAAACTCATACCACCAGCAGGACTGGGTCAACCTTTGTGCTGTAGGGGCCATTCCGCTTTTATAAGGCAACTAGCCTAGGCATTTTGTAAGGGCTAACATTAGAAATAATAATTGTTTGTTTTTGGATTTTATGAATGGTCCCATTAGAAAATACACATTGATATGTGAACTACAACTCCCATCATCATCTGTCATTGCCCCCAAAATGCAGCTGTAGTTAAAGTTGGGCACGATAGGTATGTGTGCCAGGTTTGGTCCAAATCCATCTTTGGTGGGTTCCCTGTGCTTGCAAGATGTTGGTTAACTACAATTCCCATCATCCTCTGTCATTGACGGGAGTCACAGGGCTCTGTAGATAAGGCCACCTTGGAAACTATGAGCAAACATAGATAGATAGATAGATAGATAGATAGATAGATAGATAGTGCTGGTACAGCTGTACCAGGAGCTCCAATTTTATTTGCTTTGTATTAAATGTTTACTTGCAATCCAAGGTTCCTGGGATTCTGCAGAAAGGTGGCTTCCTCTGGTTGCAGTCGTAGGGCAAGTCACCTATCCATCATCGTTAAGTTTTGGTTCCGCCCCTTGTTCAGGGCAATTGGGAAGGGAAGGGAGCCATTTTTAGTTAGTCTCAGTAAGGAAAGCTAATGTAGAGGACGTGTTCAAGCTTCTCCTGCACAAAAGCTTCAACCCTTAAGACTTTCCGGGGGAGAACAGTCTTAAGAGCATCCAACCCTCTTCAAAGATTTCCAGGGAAGCAGCCCTAAAGCTTTGAGGAATTTCGGAGGGTAAACAGTTTTGGAAGACCAAAGAACTCCATCTGGAGAATCTACTGCCCTTACTGGTAGGTCCACTCGGTGCTTGAGACGCAGTTCGACCCGGTAGCGGAGACCACATCAGTAAGACTTAGATTACAGTCAGCCTGGGAGAAGTTAAAAAGGGTTTTTCCTACAGAGAAAATTTAATTAATCAAAGTCAGGTGCCAGTCCATTGAGGACTAGACTTGAAGTGTTGTTTGAACCACTGAAGATTTGTTTTTTGTTTCATAATAAAGACTTTGTTGCATTATCAAAGACTCTAAAGACCATCACTTCTGGAAAATCCCTGAGAACTTCTCTTTGGGCCCGCTGGCTTCCTGCTGGGCAAAGGTTGCACGTCCTATTTTAAAGGAAATTCTTTACAGGCCCAGCGTGCAACAGAATATATATACACACACACACACACACACCCATGTTGACCTTATTATATAGGTAGATATGAACACGATTAAATTAGTTGGTTTCTCTCTTCCTATTGAATCGTGTCCCTTAGAATAGAGACTTTCCTGTCGTAAATCCTGTGAATCGCACATATGGTAACTCTGCGCCTGCACAGCTCAGCGATCGGAACCTTCTGGAAAGTAAAATGACCGTTTAGACTCCCTCTGGCCACGCGCCCCCTCCCCTACCCTATATATAGCCCGGGGCAGTGGCCGTTACTCAGTTCTCTTCTTTCCGCGCTAAAGCGAACAGCAAAGGAACCTTCCCGTTCTTGAACGATAAGGCTTACGAAGAGAATTAACAAATTAATACTACTTAATCGATTATGGCTACTACAGCCTTTAAGAAACGTAGGAACTGCCCAAATATTCTTCCGGACACAGATGGACACTCACTGTGTCTTGAGTGCCTGGGTGAGGGGCATCTTTCTCAACCTTGCGAGATTTGCGCTGCTTTTACTCCTCAAACGAGGAAAAATAGATTATCACGACTAAGAGCGGCGCTTTATGAGAAGGCTTTAATGCCGCAGCCTACTCAGCCACAAGAAACCTCCCATGAACAACCCTCCTTACCTTTAGGGGGAAAGAAAAAGATTAAAAAGGTCAAAAATAGCGGCCTCCAAAATGGCCGCCAATCTGCCGTGACGAAAAAAGTCCCAGCAAAGAAAACAAATCCTTCCACCACGGATCGTGGGGGCGAGAGGCTGAATAAAACAAAGAGAGACTTGAGCCTACTCACTGGAGGCATCGAAGGCCCCATTGCAGCGAGCGCAATCCCTTCGGCAACGTCTAGAATGCAGGCCGATGGAGGAACTTCTCGTACGCAGGCCGATGGAGGGGCGACGACCAATGGTCTGACCCCTCCAATACCGCTGTTGTCCCCGAACGCGCAAGGAGCGATACCGCTGTCGTCTCCGAACGCGCAAGGAGGAGTTTGCGCGGTAGCTCCCTTCACTCCCGAGATCGGCTCCTCCTCTGAAGCTAACCCCGCCCTCCCCTCGACTAGTCACGCCTTCGAGGGCGTGTTTAATGGGCCTCCCAATTCCAGGGACGCTGAACAGGCTCCGCCTCGCCCGGTATCGGAAGGCGCTGCCGACCGAAGGGGACAGGAGCCTCTCCCAAGAGGGGATGAGGCGATTCATCAGGAGGAGAATCGCCCGAACGCTACGGCGCTTGGAACGGCAGCATGAGGTCATGGCCTGCCATTACATTTCGCCGTCCAAGCAAGCGTCTAAGACGCTCGAGATCTCCGTCGCGACGCCACGGATCTAGGCGTCATCGGTACCGTTCTACATCGAGGAGGCGCCGACGCTCGCGATCCTCCTCTTCATCCTCCACCTCTTCATCCTCCTCCTCGTCCTCTTCTGGACGTTCAAGGAGGCACAGCCGCTCCAGGTCCTCAAGGTCCTCAAGTCATTGGAGAAGATATGGACCTGGAGCTCTGCCCTTCCCAGGGTTTTGGCAAATGGGYCCTTCAGGCCARATGATGTTCATACAACAACCGMTATCAAGACCAGCATCAGTGCAGGGACARRCCCCCATGTTGCTCAAYAGACAGATTGCTAATGTGGAGAGACAAAACACCATTACATCTTTGACTACTGATAYCAATAATGATAATGTAACCCACATGAGACCTTGTGATGGGAGACCWACAGTACAAGATACTWCAGTTACACCTGTGACTACTRATAGTAATATTAATAATACTGTGCYYTCCATGGGAAATGGTGACAGGAGACCAACAGTACAWGACGCTGCARCGACTCAARGGGTTGCRCAYCAWCAAMATAGASAWCAGGAACTACATGATACAGTTGTTGCTACAACATCTATGTCTACCCAYTYAAATAATGGCCAKAATTTGATRCYTGCACAAGCAGTACCTGGACATGTACCTGATATTGCAGCACCTGAACTGAATGATWYGGCATCAGATTCCGACTCCCCAGATACCATTCAAACCTTGGGGGGTGAGGAAAACAATGGTGTTCAACTAACAGACTTTAGTAGGTTTAATGCATTAATGGAAAGAATGATAAAAGAGCTTGGGATCCCAAAACCGCCTGAACATGTAGATGACCCAATGTTTCCTTCCGAGGAGCAAAATGCTTCCCCTTCGATGTCATTGCCAGCTTTACCGTATTTACTGAAACTTGCTAAGATTGTAGACGTATCCCCCTTTATGACTCCAGCAGTACCTAGAAGGCTGGATTCCTTGTATAAAATTGATGTTTCCGCTTTTAGATGGGTTACCACTCCCCCAAAACCAAATACGGTAGTGGCTGAGGTGGTGAAATCTAAGCGCCCTAAGGGCACTCTAACTACGCCTCCAGATAGGGAGGGCAAGAGAATTGATTCTTTAGGCAAAAAGGCACATATTGCTGCTGGGTTATTTACCCGCATGGCCCACTTTGCAACATACATGAGTGGCTATCAGTCTTTTTTATGGAAAAAAATCTTACCTAGTATCGATTCTCTACCTAGAGATGATCAACTCCTACCTAAAGCCCTCCAAGCAGAGGCTATGATACTTTCAAAATTTCAAAAAGACTTTGCTAAGCACCTAGCAGAGGTAGCAGGAAATTTATTTGCAACAGCTACTGCTATTAGAAGGCACGCGTGGCTACGTGCGGCCAATCTCTCTGAAGAAGGGAAGGCTTTAGCAGAAGACCTTCCCTTTCATGAAGCAGGGCTTTTCAACCCAGTCACTGATGTTAATATAAAAGAAAAGCAAGATGTGCGTCAAGCCACTAATAAGTTCGGCTATACGTGGCAACCCTTCCAGCAACAAAGGCCTAGATGGCATCAGTCTAATAGCTACCGTAGATCGTACGGCACTTACTATACTGGCCCTTCTAGGAATAGGGGCAATGGGTCTCCTAGGTTTCAAGGGGGGAAAAGAAATTCGTACTTCCCTAGAAATAGGGCACAACCGTATCAAAACAAACCCAAGGGCCAATTTAACCAAAAGAAACGTCTTTGACGTCAGGGATGTGCAAAATGATGCAAAATATAACAGAGTTAATGTTGAAGTTAATGTTAATGTTAATGTGCAAACAAGTTCTTCCACTTGGAACACTAGAGTTCCTATGTTTGGGGACAGATTGAGTATGTTTTATGATGCCTGGTGCAGTATCACCACGGACAAATGGGTTAGGTCTATTATTGGTTCAGGTTATTGTATAGAATTTGATGACCTACCTCGAGTGGGCATTGTTAAGAGAACTCAAGATTCCGCTCCTCTGTTAGAGGAGGTGAATATGTTACTGGAAAAAGGTGCAATTTCTCCGGTGGGTGTTGATAACGTTAAGTTCTGTTTTTTCTCAAAGTATTTTCTGATTAATAAACGTGGAGGTGGTCTACGTCCAATTCTGGATCTCAGAGCCTTAAATAATCACATATCTCCAAAAAAGTTTCGGATGGTTACACTAGCCTCAATTTTGCCACTTATTCCAAGGGGAGCATGGTTTGCTTCAATAGATTTAAAGGATGCATATTTCCATATATCAATAACCCCACAACATCGTAAATATCTGTCGTTTATGGTAGGGAATAAGGCTTTTTGTTTTAACATTCTTCCCTTTGGCCTTTCGACGGCACCACGTGTTTTCACGAAATGTATGTCAGTAGTGGCTGCATGTCTTCGAACAAAGGGAATAACTGTCTACCCATATATAGACGACTGGCTGGTAGTGGCTAGATCATGCAGGCAGTTGCAGGACCAAGTGTCTACCATTTTGTTTCTTCTCCGGTCGTTGGGCCTCGTAGTCAACAGGGAGAAGTCAGTCCTATCACCCACCCGCAAAATCCAGTTCATCGGCGCTCTGTTGGACTCCGTTTCCGAGAAAGCGTTTCTTCCAAGGGACAGGTTTGCCAACCTGCAAGTTCTAGTCAAGCAAGCACGAACCTCCCCTTGCATTTCGGCAAGACAAATTCAGACACTTTTAGGGCACATGGCAGCCACTACTTCAGTCAACCATTATGCGAGACTCAGAATGAGAATCCTCCAGTCATGGTTCCTGTCAGTATTCGACCCGTTGACGAGCAGTCCAGAGTTGAAACTCTCCCTCCCGTCTGGGGTCCGCGACTCACTAATATGTTGGGAGGACGAAGCATGGGTCTGTTCGGGGCTCCAATTCCACCATTTGTACCCTACCAGAGTCATCATTACGGACTCCTCCCTTACGGGATGGGGTGCGCACTCCCAGGGACTCATTGCACACGGTGTATGGTCAGGGCAGGAAAGAAACATGCACATAAACATTCTAGAACTACTCACAGTAGAAAGGGCTCTACACTCCTTCGAAAAGGTCATACTAGGTCAGGTGGTTCAAATTGTTACGGACAACACGACAGTAATGTTTTACTTGAACAAGCAGGGAGGTACGCATTCGAAGGAYCTACTATATCTATCAATACAGATTTGGGACTGGTGCATAGAAAGGGGTATACATCTCTTAGCGAGCCATCTCCCAGGGGAACAGAACACACTCGCAGATGCACTAAGCAGAAACCCACTAGTGCACCACGAGTGGTCGCTACATTCACAAGAAGCACACAGACTGTTCCTAGCGTGGGGATTTCCGGAAGTAGATTTATTTGCAACGAAGGCCAATTCCAAATGCCCTCTGTATTGCGCTCGACAACGAGCCCATCCAGAGAGCGGGTGTTTGGGGGATGCCTTTCTGATGAGGTGGTCAGAGCGACTATTGTACGCCTTCCCGCCAATACCCCTCCTGATGAGGGTCATAGCAAAGATTCAGGAAGACAGTGCCAGGTGTATAGTGATAGCACCATGGTGGCCAAGGCAACCATGGTTTTCTCTTCTCCACCAGATGGCCAGAGGGGCGTTTGTCCGACTACCGTGCAGGACAGATCTTCTGTCCACACAGGAGGGTCGGGTTTTACACCCGGAGGTGGACAAGTTGAAATTGACCGCATGGCGGGTACTCCCGGACCACTAGAGGCTTTCTCTAAATTGCCACAATCGGTATTGAAGTTTATCGAGGCGGCGCATAGAACGTCTACACGACGTTCTTACATCTATAAATGGACACGTTACTCCAAGTATTGTAAAGGGAGACAGCTGGATCCAATGGAAGCCCCTATTTCTGTGGTGTTAGAATTTTTAGTATCTCTGTTAGAGGCGGGCCTATCACATTCCTCCCTCAAATGTTACCTAGCCGCGATATCGTGGTTTAGGAGGAAACGTGGGTACCCCTCCTGTTTCACAGATCCAATGGTTAAGACATTCATGAGGGGCGTAGCTAACGTAATGCCATCTGTAGCTCCAGTACCCCCAGGTTGGAGCCTGGACATCATTCTGTCAAAATTAGTAAAACCTCCTTTCGAGCCTATGGTGACTATAGACCTTTCTTACCTCTCTTGGAAAACGGCGTTTCTAGTCGCTATTACCTCAGCACGACGGGCTAGCGAACTGAATGCATTGAGGGTAGATCCCCCGTACCTGAGATTCCATAGGGATAAAGCGGTGCTTCGCACAGATGTTGCCTTCTTGCCTAAAGTATCTTCACGATTCCATATGTCGCAAGAAATTGTACTTCCGGCATTCTATCAGAATCCCACGTCACATGTCGAGAAGAGTTTGCATTTCTTAGATGTCCGTAGGGCTCTGGCTTTTTATGTAGATAGGACGTCCTCCTTTCGACAAACCCCTAGACTGTTTGTGAAATACCGTAAGGACGCTCAGGGCATGCAACTGTCCTCCCAGAGATTGTCTGGGTGGATAGTATCTCTAATCCGGCTGTGTTACCGTTTAGCCGGGAAAGATTTGCCTCAGCAGGTCAAAGGCCATTCCACGAGGTCGATGTCCACGTCGGCGGCTTTCCTGAAAGGTGTTTCGTTGGATGCGATTTGCCGAGCAGCGATATGGTCGTCACCACTGTCGTTCGTGACCCATTATAAGCTTGATGTGGTTTCCAGGAAGGACACAGAATTCGGCAGAGCTGTCCTGTTTTCGGCTGTGGCATGACTCCCACCATCCCACGGTCAGTTGCTCGCTATTCTACCATATGTGCGATTCACAGGATTTACGACAGGAAATTATAAGTTGCTTACCTGTAACTGTAGTTTCCTGAGTAGAATCCTGTGAATACGCACATCACCCGCCCTCCTCCCCTTGAAGGTCATGCCATCTCTACTGCTTTCTAGTGGAAGAGAACTGAGTAACGGCCACTGCCCCGGGCTATATATAGGGTAGGGGAGGGGGCGCGTGGCCAGAGGGAGTCTAAACGGTCATTTTACTTTCCAGAAGGTTCCGATCGCTGAGCTGCGCAGGCGCAGAGTTACCATATGTGCGTATTCACAGGATTCTACTCAGGAAACTACAGTTACAGGTAAGCAACTTATAATTCTTTTACAACGGGTGAGAATCGTGCTGTTGTTCACGTATTGTTAGATTTCAGACCTAACCAGTGTAGCCTATAGTGAGCGGTATTGTGAATTACAATCCAACAACATGTGAAGGATCTGTGGTGTTTTCTAACATAAACAATATAAAAGATATTGATTCCTGCAATTTTAAAAATTCATAATATTTTCTTATTTCTAGGTTCGCTATCAATTTAAATGGATATACGAGACAAAGTAAACAAAGAATTAGATTCAGGATTGGGAGAAAGGTAAACTCCTGTGGTTGATGAGGGTTCTGCATTCACACAATTATTCAGCAACCGAGTTGTTAATATTTCCATTATCATCATTATTAAAAATCACCCTCATCCTCTTTGGTATCCTGCCCTTTCCCCAGTATTGTGGCTCAGGCCACCTTACAGCTCAACATACAAAAACACTAGTTAAATATGTTTAAAAAGTATTTTGAAAAGCAATAAATCTGTGAAATGAAAAATATTTAAACATTCATTAAAAGATAGGTTAAACATTTTTTTAAGGACGTACAGAGTTTCTTTATGTTTTGGCCTGGGAGCTACCATCTGCAGCCGAAAGTACATGAGTTTCCCATTTGGTTGTGCCACGTTTATAAAAAGGGCTTCAGGGGGCAAACATGATATGAAGATAGAACAGAGAAGGATTCAACATAAATCTGGGTTATCCATGCTTCCTTTCTTCCTACCTTTGCGCACGGAGATTTGTCATGGAGCAGCATTACAATATATCACCATAGTCTGCCGCCAAAAGTGTCACGGGTCATGCAAAATCTTGACTTTATAGCCTGTGGAATGTAGTATTTGGGCCTCCGTGGCTTCAAGATGCAGGAGAAAGGTTAATTGTGTCCTGATGCTCTCCTCTCTGGCTTCTTTGTGTCCGAATAGCTGACTGCTTTGAATCGCTTCATGTCTATGACACGACGGTCACGTCCCTTGTGGCACACCCACATACGAGCCCCCGTGCTCATCCTTGGTGGCTTCAGGAGCAAGGTTGTCCTCATCTCAGACACGGGGTTTGAAGATCACTTTCCAATAGAGGTGAGAGATGATGGGGGTGAGTTGGGTGGGATGCCGAACTCAGGATAATCATGGCGGCCAGCCTTTCCTGGTTTCCTTCTCACACAAATCTGATGGTAGTGGCAGTAACAATAAAAAATTCAACCCCTTGGTTTGACCACAGCTGACAACACAGAACATACCTTCCTGGATTACAGGTAGAGAGCCCCCTGGCTAGTCTCTAGATCTTCAAGGTTTCTGTCGGGAAGGAAATCTGAGGGATGACCTAAGAAATACACTTCTTGTTGGAACTCAACCACATCCTGCACAAGCTTGTAGTCCTCATCAAGGGCTCAGATAGGCAGATGAGTTAATTGGCAGAGAAAATCCTTCCCCCATTGGCCTCTCTGTCTTTCTGTGCCTCTGTTCTCTCCTATTGTTGGGCGAGTGGACTTATCAACAAAAGTGTTCAGTGCACAAGCAAAGCAGTTTATTAAAGGATAAATGCAGCTTCGGCAAAAAAAGAATTTGTATTTAAAAGTAATACAAAATATAGTCCATGTAAAAAGGCAATAATCCAGAAGACCAAGGTACAGGCAAAACCTTTAAACTGGTGTCTTGGCAAGCATAACAATCTTGAGGATCAAAGGTACATTTATTTTTATTTTATTTATTTATTTATTATTTGAACTTACATGCCGCCACTCCCCTGGGGCTCGGTGCGGCTTACAAGAATGGCTAAAATCTAACACAATTTAAAAACAATTTAAAAACAGAAATGTCAAAAATCAAAGGCCTGTCAAAACAGGTATGTCTTACATGCCCTGCGGAAAGCTGATAAGTCCCGCAAGGCACGGACTTCAGGTGGCGGAGTATTCCAGAGTGATGGTGTCACTGCTGTAAAGGCTCTGTGTCTGTTTGACACTGGGAATTTCCAATAGATCTTGGTCCTCTGAACGGAGGGATCTCTGGGGTTGGTAGGGGGTGAGGCGGTCCCTCAGGTACATCGGCCCCAGACCATGCAAGGCCTTAAAGGTGAGTACCATCACTTTGAAAGTGATCCGGTGCTCAATTGGTAACCAATGCAGCTGCAGTAAGATTGGTGTTATGTGGCATCTCATTGGAATTCCGCAAGAAGCCGAGCAGCTGCATTTTGTACCAACTTGAGCTTCCGGATCACCGACAGAGGAAGGCCAATGTAGAGGGCGTTACAGTAGTCCAGTCTTGAGATGACCGTAGCCTGGATCACTGTAGCTAGGTCGTCCTTGGACAGGGAGGGGGCCAGCCGTCTAGCCTGCCGCAGATGAAAAAAGGCGGTTCTGCTAACGGCGGATACCTGGGCCTCCATCATCAGCAGAGGGTCCAGAAGGACTCTCAGACTCTTTACCAATGGTGACGGGCGTAGCACCATGCCATCCAGGGTAGGCAGCTGGATATCCCCACTGCCCGGTTGACTCAGCCATAGGATCTCCATCTTCGCTGGATTCACCCTCAACCTGCTGGCATGCAGCCATCCAGTAACGGCCTCGAGGCACTGATGGAAACAATTGGGTACAGAGTCCAGTCGGCCTTCCATCTTCAGCACCAGCTGAGTGTCATCGGCGTACTGATAACACTCAAGCCCAAAATCTCGAACCAGCTGAGCAAGTGGTCGCATATAGATGTTAAACAACAGAGGGGAGAGAATGGCCCCCTGAGGAACCCCACAAGATAGAGGGGACCTCTCAGAGACCAGGCCTCCCCTCTCAACTCGCTGTCCACGGTTGTGAAGAAAGGAGGACAGCCAATTTAAAGCTGTCCCCCTGACTCCAGCAACAGCAAGGTGGTGGGTCAAAAGATTGTGGTCGACTGTGTCAAATGCTGCTGTGAGATCCAATAACACAAGCAGCGCTGACCCGCCCTGGTCAAGCTGGAATCGAAGGTGATCCGTGATGGAGACCAGCACAGTCTCTGTCCCGTGCCCCACACAGAAGCCGGACTGGAAGGGATCTAGTCTGGCTGTGTCGTCTAGGAATTGCTGCAACTGCTCCGCTGCTGCCCTCTCAATCACCTTGCCCAGGAACGAGAGATTCCAACAGAGGGTCACGTAATCCCTCCAAGCAGGATTTCACCAACTAAGAGGGACACGGATCGAGGGAGCAAGTGGTCGGTCTAGCTGCAGCTATGAGCCTATCGACAGCCCCTGCGTCCAGCGGGATGAACCGGTCAAGGATGGGTCCAGCAAGTGGCCACGGAGTCTCAAGTTCTCTCACTGTATCAATTGTGGGGGGAGGTCCCGGCAAAGTAGCGAGATCTTGTCTGCAAAATAGCTCTGAAAGACCTCGGCTGAAGGGGCCCGATCACCACTTTTTGGGACGGTAGGAAACATCGTTAGAGATCAAATTATTTTGAACAATTTTGTCGGGCGTGAGCTAGAAGACGCTATCAAAGAAGCATAATATACTCGCTTTGCCTCGGTGATAGCATGGTCATAGGACTCCCTAAATGCCGCATAAGCTGATCTCGATGCTCCGTCACGGAGTTCTCACCACACGCCCTCTAGCCGTCTCTTTTCCCGCTACATCAGTCAAAGTTCCTCGGCGAACCAAGGAGACCGATTTCAGTGGGGTCGGAGAGGGCGTCTAGGGGCGATCTCGTCGAGTGCATTGGATAGCCTGATGTTCCATGTGTCCACCTGCACATCAATCGAGTCGCTGGCAGGCTCCAGATCCCTCAGAGCATTCTGGAACCTACTGGGTTCCATAAGTCTCCTTGGGCGAGCCCAAATTGGCTCGACGCCCTTGCAGGGTGGGTAAGCATGCTCCAACCAGACACTCAAGGTGCAGTGATCCGACCATGGAACCTCTATTGTGGAGGCTTGGGTCACTTGAATTCCTGCGCTAAAAATCAAATCTAGCGTGTGTCCTGCCCGATGCGTGGGCCCAGTACAAGCATAGGAAAGATCCAAAAAACTATAACAGTCCATGAAACCAGTTGGTACTAGGAACAATACAAGAAACCATGAAAAAACGTTTGATATTCAAAACATGAGTCCATGAAAAACCACATAAGAAAATCCAAGGCTTGGGTCCATGAATCTTGAAACTACAAGAGAGGAATTTAGACTTGTTCCCTTTATCTAGACATTGATTCCTCTAAAGTATCACTCCAAATCAACCCTCATTTATACTTAAGAAACTATGTCTTTTTCCTTGAGAAGTCTGAGGATGGCCTCTCTTAAATAACAGTCTCTGAGAGCGGCACCTGCCTTCTGACAAATTTATTTCCTTCTGTCTAACTCAGGGAAGTCATCAGACGGATCTACATCTCTAATTAACACATTCCAAGGAAATTACAACCTTGGTTCTCTTGGGAAAAACTAGCTACGACCTGTCAGCCTCTGAATCTGTCTCTAACTGAACATCCCTTGTTGGCCTGACAATCCCAGAATCTTCAGCCCCATCATGAGCAACACAAGACTCCTGTCCAGAATCGCCATTCTCAGGCCACTGTGGGTCTGTAAAAGCTTGTTCACTGTTCTCTAAAATCTCAGGCAATGAAATAATTACAGGCTGAACCACAACAGCTTCCATGCTGGGTTTCTTCCTCATGCAGCGAAACAATATCCTTCTTACAGAGCCGAGCCTCACAATGAACTTATACTGGAGCTTCACACTTTAGTTTTTTACACAGCTTTGCACATGAGGCCTTCAACCTGGGCTTCCTTACACCGAAGCTTCTCTTACCAGGCCTTCCTCATACTTGGCCTTTTCATAGACTAAGGCCTACCTCACACTGTGACATCGGCCTCACACTGTGACGCCTACCTCACACAGAGGCTTCTCTCACAGACAGACCTTTCTCCCACTGAGGTTTATTTCAGACTAACTGCTACTAAGCTACAGACACACTTGCTGATATAGGACTGCAGATTTTGCTGAGTCATTGCATCCATTTCACCCTTTCAGTGCTTGACTCACATTTTTGTAATTGAAAATATCTACTTTCTGACACCTATCACCTTGCTGGTTAGACAAGTACATCTCAGGGACACGTGACAAACCCCTGAGGCTTCCATTTTGTTCTTCTTTTGTTCTACTTCTGGGAACATGAAGAGAGACAAGATGTGTGCAGAAATACTGTAGACAGATGGATAGATAGGCCTTGTTAACTTCCCTATCTAGATATGTAGTTCTTTGAACAAAGTCTTTTATAACTTTTTAAGCTTGACTCTGCTGCTGAATTGCTTAAGCCCAGTTGCTCTGCTGCTGGCATTAGAAGCTTCTGATCTGCCGAACTGCTGCTCCTGCTGTTGTTGCTGCTTTATGTATTTTAAATGCATTTTCCTGTTTGACAATTATCCCCCAGCACCTCTGTCGCATGGAACTGCTGACACTGACCAGGGCCTGCCCTCTGTGATATCATAAGCCCCGAAACTCCAGGTTTTGCCCCTCAAATCTCAGAGCCTGGGATAGTCCTGAAATTGAAGGGAGCCAGGCTCAGACCTGACACGAAAAAAGGCAGGCTCCTCTCCCAACCCTTTCAGCTCAATTTTCCTGTTGCCTTCAGCTCAATAGCACTCATCATGGTCTCTTCACATAAGATGCGCCTTGCCTCTTTTTCTTCTCCAGGTGGGCATCGACAGCTGCTGGATTGGCTCCATCTCCTGCCCGCAGAGAGGTTTCTCTACTTCCATTGCTGACAGCATTGCGACAGAAAGCACCCTCTTCATCCGGCAGAACCAGCTGGTCTATTACTTTGTGGGGCATTACCCCATTCTGCACATGAGAGGCCCAGGTTCACGTAAGCGAGCCTGCAAAAAGCAACAACAACAAAGGCCATAATGATTCATGTTTGAGTAACATGCAGGCTTTTTGGTTATATTTTTTTATTCCTACTTGAAAGAATAACGTTATAGTTTTTTTTTAAAAATAATCTTTATTGAGTATTTACACAACACAAAAACAGAATTTAAACTCATGTGCATAATAAGAAAAAAGGGAATAATTGGGGAGGGGAATGAGGGAATGGAGAGAGGAGAGGAGAAGGAGAGAAAAAGAAAAGAAAGTGAAAAAGGAGAGTGAAAAAAGTGAGATATTGGTTCCACTTCTGGGCGACTTCCTGGAAGTTTTCTCCCTTTTCCGTCATCTTCATCCTTTTCTTATCCCTTTTCTCCATTTCTTGTATAAAGTCTCCATCTGGTGTGTGGATGGTTTTTTCCCCTTATAATTATATTATTTATTATTCTTATTTGAAATGTTCAGTTATCAGTGTCCAGTCTGTTGCTTTCCTTTTGTATCAGATAGGTTAGTCTGTCCATATTTCTTATGTCCATAATATTTTTATCCCAGCCTTCCATTTTGGGTATTTCCCCTTTTCTCCATAGTCTTGCGGCTGATTTTGATAAGAAGAGGAGTTTGTCTATAATGCGGTCTAATTTTTGTTCATTAATTCCTAATAAAAATATTTCTGGTTTGAGTGGTATCTTTTTTAAAAATATTTTTTGTAAATTTTCAAATATTTTTGTCCATAATATTTTTGCTTTTTTACATGACCGCCACATGTGGTAGAAGGTTCCTTCCACTTCCCCACGCTTCCAACATTTTGAATTTATATTTTTATAATATTTTCTTAATTTATGTGGTGTCATATACCACATGTACATCATTTTTACCCAATTTTCTTTTTGATTGTAAGCGCACATGTATTTCAATTTTTTATTCCAAATTATCTCCCACTCTTCTGTTCCTATTGATCTTCCAATGTTTTTTGCCCATTTGATCATACATTCTTTTACTCCTTCTTCCTCTGTACTCCACTCCAATATTTTTTTGTATATTTTAGTTATCATTTTTTTCTATTTTCATTATTTTGTCCCAGATGGTTTCCTTCATTGAGAAGCCTGCTTCTTTATCTGTGGTGAAATGTTCTTTTATTTGCTAAGATTGAAATCATCATATGCTTTTATGTGTCACATTTATTTCTTGTTGTGTTTTTAGTGCTACTTCTTCCCCATCTTTTAAAAATATATCTTTATAATTGGGCCAATTATCCCAACCTAATTCTCCTCGTTGACAGGATTCCAAGGAGGACACCCATAATTGGGTTTTATTGCATATCCTATTTTTATATTTCTCCCAAACTTGAATAATGGCTCAGCTGATGAAGTGGTTTCCAATTTTTTCCAGTTTTGTTTTTCCGTACCATAAGAACACGTGCCATCCTTTTCTCAGATCTGCCCCTTCCAAATTGAAGATTTTCTTCTTCTTTAGTTTTATTCAATCAGCACTTGCTTCGAAATATAGAGTTAGGTCTGGCATATCTAGCCCTCCCCTTCTTCTCTCATCAGTCATATTTTTGAAATTTATCCTTGTTTTTTTTACCTTGCCAAATATGTTTTTTGCTATCTTTATTCCATTACTTTAGATTCTTTTGATTCCTTATTATTCGTAGATTTTGGAATAGGAAGATCGTATTTGGTACGACGTTCATTTTTATACTTGAAATTCTGCCCAAGAAAGATATTTTTAGATTTTTCAATTTTTCCAAATCTTTTTAAATCTCATTCCATTTTCCCCATAGTTATTCTGTAACAATTGTGCATTCTTTGGTGTGATTATGATGCCGAGATATTTTATCTTAGAGCTTATCTGAATATTCCAATTTCCCCATCGTGGTCCCTGTGAATCGCACATATGTTATTGCCTGCGCCTGCGCAGACAGTTCAGAATCTTCTGGAAAACTTATTAGACACTTTTAGGTGGTAGCTCCACCCCCTCTCCACTTGAGAGTATATATAGCCAGTGGGAGGGGCTACTGCCTCAGATCCTTTCATCCGCCGCCATTCCAGCAGCTAGGAATCTTTCTCTCATTTTTCTTCATCTTTGACTAGCATTCTGGACTGCGTGAATTTTTACTATGCTGCCACTTCTCCAAATGCATTTATTACCTCTAACCATTTTAAAAAAACTTTTTATTTGGGTCTTCAATTATACATATTATATCGTTGGCAAAGACTCTGATTTTATATGATTGACCATTTATCGCTGCTCCTTTTCATTCTTTTTTTTTTGCTGCTCCTTTTAATTCTTTTTCTTCTCTTATTTTATTCAGTAGGACTTCCAATGTTAGTATAAAAATTAGATGTGATAGCAGGCATCCTTGTCTTATTCCTTTTTGTATTTCTATAGTTTTGGTTTCTTGCCCATTTATTATTATTTTCGCTTCCTGATTTTTGTATATTGTTTCAATTGTTTTGAAAGTAATATCCTATATCCATCTCCTTCATAAGCAGTTTTTAAAAATCCCAGTTGACATTATCGAATGCTTTTCAGCATCCAGGGCCAGAAACATTACCTCTTTTTTTAAACGTTCCTCTCATAGTATTTTATCAGAGCAATAATTGTTCTTACATTCTCTCTTTGGTATCTATTTGGAAGGAATCCCATCTGCTCTTCTTTGATCAATTTATCTAAGAATATTTTAAATCTTGTCGCTATTATGCTACTAAATAGTTTATAATCTAAGCTTAACAATGAAGTTGGTCTGTAATTTTTGATATTTTCTGGATCTGAATTTTCTTTATTACACAGATGTTGGCTTGTTTCCATAAATTTGGCATTTCTTATTTTAATCTTATTTCTTGTAAGAATGTTTTATAATAACTTTATAGTTTTAAAGGCTGCTCTTCCTTCGACTCTTCCTATTTTGCACTCGCCAACTGTTATTATAGATAGCACAGACTGAAACTTGCCTGGCACTGATTTGCTTAATTTGGACTGCAAAGGAGAATGAGTCCATTTTTAAGCAATGATTGTCACAAGAAATTACAACCTGGATCAGTTTGCATTCTGTCGTGTTTCTCTACTCTGTTTTAACTGTTGCATTGTCCCGTCCGTCCCCCCCCCCCCGTCTTTTTCTGTTTTTCCTTTAGAGGTGTGGACACGTGTATTAAACAACGTCTGTGTGAGGAAACTAAACCCTGTGTTTTTTGTGAAGAATAACACCGAATACGTGATTGCTCTTGGTGGCGGCGCGCAAGAAGGGCACTTCTATCTTATTACTGTGCAAGGTATTTTTCTTAGGTTTCCAAAATTCAGGGCAGAATGGATGGGCTCTGTCTTAGCAGGCTGGTCCTGCTCTCTTTTTGTCCCATGTGAGGAAGTGGGCCAAGATGGCTTGAATGAGGTCAGTTGGGTGTATAATTTTCTGGTGATGGGCAAATGATCGGATTCTAGAAAAGTACATTCAAAAAGCAAGGAAAATTTAGATTGTAGGATATGGGGAATTTCCAGTGAATTATCTCTATGACAGTGATGACAGTGACAGCTTTTTTAGGGTTGCTAGATGAGTGGGAGAATGGATGAAGTAAAAACAGTGATGAGTAGATAACATCCCCAGACAGCAGGGAAATGGGTAAAACTGAGAACAAATTCAGTATGTGTTGCACCTCAATAGGAGTTCACCTTGTACTCACGGAGAAACCAAACACGGTAATAAACAGTTTATTATAGCCAAATGCACCTTAAGGAAATGGAAGGGTAAAAATCCAAGAGTTAATAAAGGAAGCAAGTCCCAAAGGCAACAGGTGAATCCAGAAAACGATGGTTAAAACATAAACATGAATCCAGGAAACAAAGAGCAAAACATGGGCATGAATCCAAAGGTAAATCCATAAAACAAGGAGCAAAACTTGTGCATGAATCTTGGGTCTGAAACTAAGACATGAACTAGGAACGAGACAGGAGTTCCTCACTCCAATAGCGACGCTGCTTGATCTAAAATCCGAACAGCTCTCTCCCTAATTTAAGGACTGCAAAACATGAACGCATTCCTTTGACCTTGAGAGGCCTGCTTCTGACTCTCTTTCTCACGAATTTTCCTGCACCTGAATCTCTGCCCCCACAGAAGCAGCCTGGTATCTCTTTCTAAGCCAGTTGCTCCCTTGGATGAGCTAATGTTGTCCTCCTCTCCCTGCCTGTTGGATTCCGAAACAATTTCACTTTCCCACTCTGTCTCAGCAACAGTATCTTGCTCCGAAACCCCCTCCATTCCCTCATCTACAGAACCATTTTGCTCTAAAACCTCCTCTGTTTGCTCACCTACAGAACCATCAAGCCCTGAACCCTTAAACCCCTCATTTTCATCTTGCTTAATCACAACAGTATGAAGAGCTGCAAAGAATAACCACTTAGACTCATAAAAGTCACTTCTAAACAGTCAATAACAGATCTGTAATATAGTGGAATCTTAACTTAAGAGCATCCCTACTTTAGAGTGTTTTGAGTTAAGATATGTCACTCGGCCTGGGTTTCACTTTGAGTTAAGCACTAGCTCCAAAAGGAGCACTAGCTCTTAACTCAAAGGAACAGCCTCGTGCCTTGTGCCTTCATGCCTCGTGCTCTTGTCTGCTTTGGGAGAACTGTCCGCTTTGCTCTTGTCCACTTTGAGGAACCTTGGATTAGTTGATTTTGTGTGGTATTTATTCCTGGTATGTTTGGCTTCATGAAGAGAGAGCGAGCAAAAGAAGGAAGGAGGCTGGAATGAATACAGGATGAAGAAATTGTTGCTTCTGCCTCTTCACTTTGTGCTTTTTGCTTCCTTGACACAACTTTCAGCCTCTACCATTTTAAAGTTGAATTTCTTTTTTATTTTTCCACGTGAATATGCATTTATATATTATTTGTTATTTATAAAGTACATTTTCTTATTTAGAATCATAGAATCAAAGAGTTGGAAGAGACCTCATGGGCCATCCAGTCCAACCCCTTACCAAGAAGCAGGAATATTGCATTCAAATCACCCCTGACAAATGGCCATCCAGCCTCTGTTTAAAAGCTTCCAAAGAAGGAGCCTCCACCACACTCCGGGGCAGAGAGTTCCACTGCTGAACGGCTCTCACAGTCAGGAAGTTCTTCCTCATGTTCAGATGGAATCTCCTCTCTTGTAGTTTGAAGCCATTGTTCCGCGTCCTAGTCTCCAAGGAAGTAGAAAACAAGCTTGCCCCTCCTCCCTGTGGCTTCCTCTCACATATTTATACATGGCTATCATATCTCCTCTCAGCCTTCTCTTCTTCAGGCTAAACATGCCCAGCTCCTTAAGCCGCTCCTCATAGGGCTTGTTCTCCAGACCCTTGATTATTTTAGTCGCCCTCCTCTGGACACATTCCAGCTTGTCAATATCTCTCTTGAATTGTGGTGCCCAGAATTGGACACAATATTCCAGATGTGGTCTAACCAAAGCAGAATAGAGGGGTAGCATTACTTCCTTAGATCTAGACACTATGCTCCTATTGATGCAGGCCAAAATCCCATTGGCTTTTTTTGCCGCCACATCACATTGTTGGCTCATGTTTAACTTGTTGTCCACGAGGACTCCAAGATCTTTTTCACACGTACTGCTTCCTGACCAGGCATTGTCCCCATTCTGTATCTTTGCATTTCATTTTTTCTGCCAAAGTGGAGTATCTTGCATTTGTCACTGTTGAACTTCATTTTGTTAGTTTTGGCCCATCTATCTAATCTGTCAAGATCGTTTTGAATTCTGCTCCTGTCCTCTGGACTATTGGCTATCCCTCCCAATTTGGTGTCGTCTGCAAACTTGATGATCCTGCCTTCTAGCCCTTCATCTAAGTCATTAATAAGGATATTGGACCGGGCCCAGGACGCAACCCTGCGGCACTCCACTTGTCACTTCTTTCCAGGATGAAGAGGAAGCATTGTGAGCACCCTCTGAGTTCGTCCATTTAACCAATTACAGATCCACCTCACCATAGTTTTGCCTAGCCCACATTGGGACTAGTTTCCTTGCCAGAAGGTCATGGGGGACCTTGTCGAAGGCCTTACTGAAATCCAGGTACGCTACATCCACGGCATTCCCCGCATCTACCCAGCTTGTAGCTCTATCGAAGAACGAGATCAGATTAGTCTGGCATGACTTGTTTTTGATAAATCCATGTTGACTATTAGCGATGACTGCATTTGTTTCTAAGTGTTTGCAGACCGCTTCCTTAACAATCTTTTCCAGAATCTTGCCTGGTATTGACGTGAGGCTGACCGGACGGTAGTTGTTTGGGTCATCCTTTTTTCCCTTCTTGAAGATTGGGACCACATTGGCCCTCCTCCAATCTGCTGGAACTTCTCCCGTTCTCCAAGAACTCTCAAAGATGGTTGCCAATGGTTCCGAAATGACTTCCGCTAGTTCCTTCAATACTCTTGGGTGTAGTTGATCTGGCCCTGGGGACTTGAACTCATTAAGGAGCGGCCAGGTATTCCTGGACGACTTCTTTCCCAATTTGGGGTTGGATGTCCTCCAATCCCTCATCCACTCCATCTTGCTGAGGTTGAAGACTCTCTTTTTTGTGAGAAGACCGAGGCAAAGAAGGCATTAAGTAGTTCTGCCTTTTCCCTCCCCCCTGTCAGCATTGCCCCATCTTCTCCTCGAAGAGGCCCTATCGCCTCCTTGTTTTTCCTTTTTCTACTGACATAAGAAAAGAAGCCCTTTTTATTGTTTTTAATGTCCCTGGCAAGCCTGAGCTCGTTTTGCGCCTTAGCCTTGCAGACCTTTTCCCTACAGGTGTTGGCTATTTTTTTGAATTCTTCTTTGGTGATTTCTCCCTTTTTCCACTTCTTGTGCATGTCTCTTTTGTGTCTTAGCACAGTTAGAAGTTCTTTGGACATCCATTCTGGCTTCTTTGCCCTTGTCCTATTTTTTCTCTTTGTTGGCACGGTTTGCAATTGCGCCTTGAGTATTTCACTCTTGAGAAATTCCCATCCATCCGTAACTCCCTTGTCTTTTAGTATCTGTGTCCACGGAATGCTGCTCAGCGTTTCCTTCATTTTTTGGAAATCAGCTCTCCTAAAGTCCAAAATGCGGGTTTGACTTGTCTTAGTTTCGGCCTTCCTTTGTACCTCAAATTGCAGGAGCACATGGTCACTTGCCCCTAAGGATCCTACCACTTCGACCGCATCGATCAGGTCCTCCGCATTTGTTAGGATGAGATCAAGAGTAGCCAATCCCCTTGTTGCCTCTTCTACCTTCTGGACCATGAAATTGTCTGCAAGGCAAGCGAGGAATTTGTTGGACCTTGTACTCTTGGCCGAGTTTGCTTTCCAGCAAATATCGGGATAGTTGAAATCGCCCATTTAATAAAATAAATACGTAATAAAAAATGGGGAGGGGGGTTGGAGAGCCAGACTAGATTACCATATATACTCAATTATAAACCGAGTTTTTCAGCCCTTATTTTAGGCAGAAAAAGCGCCCCCCCCCCCGGTTTATACTCAAGTCAAAATTATGTATTCTTTTGCTCCGTTGTTGTTTTTGTTACATGTATTATTTTACTCTATTATTACAGTAGAGTCTCGCTTATCCAACATAAACGGGCCACCAAAACATTGTATAAGCGAAAATATTGGATAATAAGGAGGGATTAAGGAAAAGCCTATTAAACATCAAAATATGTTATGATTTTACAAATTAAACACCAAAATTTCATGTTTTACAACAAATTGACAGAAAAAGCAGTTCAATACACAGTAACGTTATATAGTAATTACTGTATTTACGAATTTAGCACCAAAGCATCGCAATGTATTGAAACAGCTGTGGTTCCGGGTGGGAGGCAGACTGCGTTGGATAATACAGAACGTTGGATAAACAAATGTTGAATAAGTGAGACTCTGCTATATTACATTTACATTATTTTATTCTATTATTATTATTATTATTATTATTATGTTTATTGTTTTACTCTATTTATTATTGTTAATTTTACATTTATGATTTTACTCTCTTTATTATTATTGAAAGGATATGTAAGCACATGGACATTGAAGAAGGTTAGAATAATGGCTTAATCAGAGTTGGACAGTCTTACCTTGAATTACACTTTTATGTAAATATTCAAAAATATTCAAAAACATTTAACCAGCTGATGCCTGAATTAATGTAATTTTATTGGTATCTAGTTTTATTTTGAAATGTACCATTATCTGCTACATTTCCCACCCTTGCCTTATACTTGAGTCAATATGTTTTCCCAGTTTTTTGTGGTAAAATTAGGTGCCTCCGCTTATATTCGAGTCGGCTTATACCCAAGTATATACAATAACAGCATTTAAATGGTAAGTTCACTTTGAGATAAGAGCAATTTGAGTTAAGAGTTCAATCACAAAACAAATTAAGCTCTTAACTCAAGGCATCACTGTATAATATCATAATATCATATAAGGCAACAGACAATAACAGGGCCAAAATTTGCACTGTTACTGAAGGATTCGACTAGTACTTCATAATTTGCTTATTGTATTTTGAAATTTATGTGTTTCCATATTGGTCAAGAAGAGGATGTTTGCTGATGTGTGAGTGATAGAACACATGTACATAAATCCACTAGATAGGATGAATGGAGCTTGCGGAAACAAAGAAGACCGTAAGCATCTTGCGAATCTGTTGGCATTGGATTTGTCTGTATGTTAAAAGGGCAGAAATAGCCCCGGCAAGTTTAATGTTATTGTCCCCTTCCCTCCTTTTTTTACAGATGGGATTGTGAATGCCACTGCCTCTTTCACATTTCAGAATAAGGGACCGTGTCAATATCTGAATAGTAGGTTTCTCTACATTTCTGCTGTCTGCCCCATAGCTCCTGTCCTGGTCTGCTGAAGGGGGTGTGGGTCGTTTGGGGGAAGGGGCAGGCAAAGCCAGATCAGGCTACTTGAGTCTCCCCTTGCACCCATGATAATGGAGAGAAGAATACAATGGGGAGTGCTCTTCTGGCACTAATCTCTATTCCAAACCAACTTGGCTCTATTGAGCTGAATTTTAATCAATTCTACAGATCTTCCTTATACCCAGGGTGTAATATAAAAATATTTTAAATATCATTACAAACAAAATAAGCCAGCAATCTTTAAAGCAGTGGTTCTCAGCCTGTGGCTACCCAGGTGTTTTGGCCTACAACTCCCAGAAATCCCAGCCAGTTTACCAGCTGTTAGGATTTCTAGCTGTTGAAGGCCAAAACATCTGGGAACCCACAGGTTGAGAACCACTGCTTTAAATTATCAGAAGCATTTATGGTGTTTTCTCCATCAAGTGAAGTAGTCCTCTCATAGGATGGTAGTCGGAGGTTTCGCACAGCTGGTACATCACCGGCAACTATAAGATCTGTCAACTGAAAGTTCAAAGCCCTGGGTTGGCATGAGCGGTTGACTATCAGCCCTGCTCACTGTTTACCTAAGCCATTGGTTCTCAACCTGGGGTCCCTAGATGTTTTTGGCCTACAACTCCCAGAAACCCCAGCCAGTTTACCAGCTGTTAGGGTTTCTGGGAATTGAAGGCCAAAAACATTTGGGGTCCCCAGGTTGAGAACCACTGACCTAAGCAGTCGAAAACAGCTTTAGCTGTAATTAGAGAAATTAGGTACAGATAAAAGTGATGGTGCAGTGGGTTAAAGAGCTGAGCTGCTGAGCTTGTTGTTTGAAAGGTCGCAAGTTTGATTCCGGGGAACAGCGTGAGCTTCCACTGATAGCCCCACCTTCTGCCAACCTAGCAGTTCGAAAACATGCAAATGTGAGTAGATGAATAGGTACCACTCTGGCAGGAAGGTAACGGTGCTCCATGCAGTCATGCTGGCCACATGACCTTGGAGGTGTCTATGGACAACGCCGGCTCTTTGGCTTAGAAATGGAGATGAGCACCACACCCCAGAGTCAGACACGACTGAATGTCAGGGGAAAACCTTTACTTTTACCTAAAAGCAGGGAGGTGTTTTACGACGCCATAAAGAAAGAAGATCAGAAAATGCTGGGTGACCAAAAAGGGAGGAGGAGGTCCTGAAGGCTCTTCGTGATAGAGAATGGAGCAACAGCATTCCCTGTGGCTGGACTCACCTTCCTTGGCACCAAAAACAGCTGGACACTGAATTGGCAATACCTCCTTTCTGTTCTGTCTGTGTACTGTCTATACAAAGCAGCATTGAATGTTTGCTGTGTATGTGTAATGTGATCTGCCCTGAATCCCTTTTGGGGTGAGAAGGGGAGAATATAAATAATAATAATAATAATAATAATAATAATAATTATTATTATTATTATTATTATTATTAAAGTGTTTAGCCATTTCTAGCCGTTTCAGCCACGATGAAATGCTTAAAAATGTGTGTGAGATGGTAATCGATGGCTGTTGAGGTCTAAGAAGGGCTGGAGGGCTCACTGGAAAGGATTTCTGGTTGCCTGGGGTTGTTCTCTGTCAGCCCCTGCCCCCAAATCCCCAATATGTTAGTTCAGGATAGGTAAAGATTTCTCCTGACGTTAAGTCTAGTTGTGTCTGACTCTGGCGTCATATCAGTTTCTAAGTCAAAGACCCAGCATTGTCCGTAGACACCTCCAAGGTCATGTGGCCAACATGACTGCATGGAGCACCATTATCTTCCCACAGAAGTAGTAACTATTAATCTGCTCATGTTTGCATATTTTTGAACTGCTTGGCAGAAGCTGGGGCTAACAGCGGGAGCTCACCCCGCTCCCTGGATCCAAACTGCCAACCTTTTGGTTAGCAAGTTCAGCAGCTCAGCAGTTTAACCCGCTGCACCACCAGGGGACCTCCATTCAGGGTCGGGACCCCCGATTTACGAAGCCCTGATCTAGATTATGTTCTTAATCGTTTAAAATATGAAAATTGACTGTCTATCTTTAGTTCAGAATAAAGACAGTCAGTTTACATTTTTTAAAAGATCAAGAACACAATCTAGATCAGGGCTTCATAAACCCTGGGTCCCGAGCCTAAATGGGGGTCCCTTTAGCACAATGTAGGGCAGTGTTTCTCAACCTTCCTAATGCCACGACCCCTTAATACAGTTCCTCATGTGATGGGGACCCCTAACCATAATATTACTTTCATTGCTACTTCATAACTGTAATTTTGGTACAGTTATGAATCTTAATGTAAATATCTGATATGCAGGATGGATCTTCATTCACTGGACCAAATTTGGCACAAATACACACTACATCCAATTTTTAATACTGGTGGGTTCGGGGGGGGGGGTGCATTTTGTCATTTGAGAGTTGTAGTTGCTGGGATTTAAATTTCACCTACAATCAAAGAGGATTCTGAACTCCACCAACGATGGAGTTGAACCAAACTTGGCACACAGAACTCCCATGATCAACAGAAAATACTGGAAGGGTTTGGTGGATGGGCACTGACCTTGAATTTTGGAGTTGTAGTTCACCTACATCCAGAGAGCACTGTGGACTCAAACAATGATGGATCTGGACCAAACTTGACACGGATACTCAATATGCCCAAATATGAACACTGGTGGAGTTTGGGGGAAATTGACCTTGGCATTTATAAGTCCCGGCAAGTTGTAGTTGCCGGGACTTATAGTTCACCTACAATCAAAGAGCATTCTGAACCCCATCAACAATACAATTGGGCCAAACTTCCCACATAGAACTCCAGTGACCAACAGAAAATACTGTGTTTTCTGATGGTCTTTGGCGACCTCTCTGACACCCTCTCATGAACCCCCCAGGGGTCCCGACCCCCAGGTTGAGAAGCACTTGTATAGGGGGTCACAAAATATTTGGCAACAGTAAACGGTTTTTGGATGCCACCCATTTACACAAATCTGTTTGCAACAGCGTGCAGTATTTACAGTGGCTTCCACAGATAATGCTTCAGCTGTACTTCATTAAAAGCAACATCAGCCTGTCTAGCAAGCCTTGCTAATGCTGATTTATTATCAGAGAAGGCCCTCTCTCTCGTCTTGCTTGAGATGGCCATGCTTGAGATGGCCATGCTTGAGATGGAGATGGGACCGAGAGGAGGGTCTCCCTAGCAGATCTCAGAGCTTGTGCTGGCTCATAGGAGGTGCGGTCTCGAAGATAGGCTGGACCTGAACTGTATGAGTTTTAAAGGTTATAACCTGCACTTTCAATTGAGCCTGGAAACTTATTGGCAACCAGTGGAGCTGCTTTGATAGGAGCATCATATGCTCTCTATCATTTGCCCCAGTTAGTAATCTAGCAGCTGATCTTTGCACTAATTGCAGTTTCTAGGCCGTCTTCAAAGGCAGTCCCATGTAGAGTGTGTTGCAGTAGTTCATTCTAGATGTAAATAAGGCATGGACCACCATGGCCAAGTCAGGTTTTTCGAGGTACAGTCGCAGCTGGCGCACAAGTTTTATGTGTGCAAAGGCCCTCCTGTCCACCACCAACACCTGAGCCTCAAGTGTCAGTGATGAATCCAGGAGGACTGCCAGGCTGTGGACCTGTGTCCTCAGGGGGGGTGTAACCCAGCCGAGCACAGGTTGTCACCCTATGCCCCGATCAGCCTCGCGACTGACCAGGAGGAGCTCTACTGTGTCTGGATTAAGCTTCAACTTGTTAGCCCTCATCCAGTCCATCACAGCTGCCAGGCACCGGTCCAGGGTCTAGGGAGCTTCCTTGGATTGTGGTGGAAAAGTGTAGTCAAGTTGTGTGTTATCTGCGTAGAGATAAAGCTACATATTAAAACAAACACATAAAAAAACACAAACACAGTTAAAACTTGTGTGCCAGCTGCGCCCGTACCTTGGGAAATCTGATCTGGCTATGGTCGTCCATGCTCTAGTTACATCCCGAATAGATTACTGCAACACGGTCTACGTGGGGCTGCCTTTGAAGATTGGAAATTGCAGCTAGTCCAACGGGTGGCAGCCAGATTACTAACTGGAGCGACATACTGTGTCCTCAGGGGTAGTGTAACCCTGCCAAGCACAGGTAGTCACCCTATGTCCCGATCAGCCTCGCAACTGACCAGGAGGATCTCTGCTGTGTCTGGTTTAAGATTCAACTTGTTAACCCTCATCCAGTTCATCACAGCTACCACCCCCCCCCCCCCCCCCCCCCCCCCCCGTTAATGTCAGCTCCACTGGCTGCCGGTCCATCTCCAAGCCCAATTCAAAGTGCTGGTTTTGACCTATAAAGCTGTATACGGTTCTGGCCCAGCTTACTTGTCTGAACGCATCTGCCTCTACGTCTCATCTCGCAGCCTACAATCATCCAGGGAGGCTCTACTTTCGCTTCCATCAACATCACAAGTGTATTTGGCAGGGAAGAGAGACAAGACCTTCCTAGCTGTGGCCCCCCACCTATGGAACGCACTCCCAAATGAGATAAGATCGACTCCATCCCTCCTAGCTTTCAAAAAAAAATTAAAATTGTGGTTTTGGGACCAGGCTTTCGGACAGTAGACATAACTAGCACCTTAGATGGATATTGACAGGAATGGCGTTGCAGCAGATGGCATTGTTATATTTTTACTGTTTTAATTAATGCTGTATGTATTAGTTTTAATGATTACTTTATGTACTTAATTGTGGTTATATTATTGTAATTGTTTTGTAGCGGCCTTGTACCGTTACTAAATGTAAGCCGTCCTGAATCCCCCTTTGGGGGTAGAGAAGAGACGGGGTATAAATACCAGATATAAATAAATAAATATTTTTAAAATCAACCAAAAATTAAAACACGATAAACATAGAATGTGATTTTAAAAATTTATAGTTAGGTCTATACTGGCCACGCAAGCCAAAATTTCTTTTACGTTTGGCTTAGCATGGAAAGTTTTTAAATCTGTTACGGGTAGTTGTGCTCGCTCTCTCTCTCTCTCTCTCTCTCACACACACACACAGAGTTTCCCACTTCCAAGGTATCAACAAGTGACATTTTTTTCCTCTTCCAGTTTACTGCCAACTCGTGTGGGTTATCTTCTCTACAAATGACGACAAGTTCTTTTTGCTGGTGCATCGTTACAGATCAACACGTTACTACATTGCGGAATACCAGAAAGGTTAGATTGACTCTTTTAAGCATCATCCTTCAAGCCACCTGCCAACGCATGGTGACCCCATGCATTTCATAGGGTTTTCAAAGGCAATGAATGCTCTGACTGTCATCGTCCTTTGAAATGCAGGTGGGCACTGCCCAACAAATAATTGCTTCTTTTAGTATGTGTGTGGGTGTGTGTGTGTATCTAGATCCATTTCAGTGAGGTTATGAAACAGAGACAGCTTTGCTTGCCTTGGTGGATGACCTACGAAGAAAGCTAGACAGGGAGTGTGTCCCTGTTGGTACTCCTGGACCTCTCAGCAGCTTTCGATGCCATTGACCGTGGTATCCTTCTGGGTCATCATGCTGGGATTGGACTGGGAGGCACTGTCTTACAGTTGCTCTCGTCCTTCCTGTAGGGCCGTACCCAGAAGGTGGTGCTGTGAGATCCCCACTCTGGCCATTGACCTGTGGGGTTCCTCAGGGTTCCATTTTGTCCTCTGTGCTGTTTAACATATACGTGAAACTGCTGGGAGAGGTCAACCAGGGTTTTGGAGTATGGTGTCACCTATATGTGGATGACACCCAGCTCTTCTACTCCTTTCCACCTAAACCAGTGGTTCTCAACCTGTGGGTCTCCAGATGTTTTAGCCTTCAACTCCCAGAAATCCTAACAGATGGTAAACTGGCTGGGATTTCTGTGAGTTGTAGGCCAAAACACCTGTGGACCCACAGGTTGAGAACCACTGACCTAAACCAAGGAAGCTGTCCTGACCCTAAACTAATGCCTGTCATCAGTAATGGACTGGATGAGGGCAAACAAATTGAAACTTAATCCAGACAAGACAGAAGTAGTCCTGGTCAGTTGGAAGGCAGACCAGGGAATAGGGATCCAGCCTGTGCTGGATGGGGTCACACTCCCCCTGTAGACACAGGTTCGCAGTTTGGGGGTCTTCCTGGACTTGTCATTGGAGACCCAGGTATTGGCGGTGGCCGGAAGGACCTTTTCCCAATTAAAACTTGTGCACCAACTGAGTCCATTCCTTGAGAAGCCAGATCTGGCCATGGTCCCCCATGCCTTAGTTACATCCCATCTGGATTACTGTAATGCACTCAATGTGGGGCTGCCTCTGCGGAGTGCTTGGAAACTTCAGCTGGCCCAAAGACCTGCCGACAGGTTGCTCACTGGGGCTGGCCACAGGGAGTGCACAACCCTACTGTTGAAGCAGCTCCACTGGCTGCCAGTCTGTTCCCAGGCACAAAGTGCTGGTTATGACCTTTAAAGCCCTAGAAGGTTCAGATCCAGGCTATTTGCTGACTGCATCCCCTTATATGAACCTGCCTGGGCCCTGAAATCTTCAGGAGCGGCCCTTCTCTCAGTCCCATCTCCATCTCAGGCTTGGTTGTGGGAACGAGAGAGAGAGCAGGCCTTCCTTCTCAGTGTCTGCCCCTCGACTCTGGAACTTCCCAGGGAAGCCAGAACGGCCCCCTCCCTGCTGTCCTTCTGGTGGCAGGCCAAAACCTTTTTATTCAGGCAGGCTTTTAAAGATGAAGGTGTTTAAAATCAATTCAGGGGGTGCTGTGGTTTTTAACTTTGAATTTGTTTTCATAGTTTTTAACTGGGAATTTTAAAATGTTGTTTATATTTAATCTTGTTTTCATGTTCTTATATTTATATATTTTAAAATGGTTATGCTAATGCTTTTATGCTTTTTTTGAAATTTTTATTAATTTCTCCATACAGATAAGAAAACAACACAATACGAACCTTAGCCATCTAAAAGATAATATCAAAAACTGATTACAATTTTTATGGCTAGGATACAGGTTCCAATT